TTTTAATTATTTTATATAATATTTACCTTATTCTTTTAATTATTTTATATAATAATAATCAAAATATTCACATTCATATGGGCGTTTTCGAAAATAATATTATTGTATTATTGTTAAAATTAACATCAATAACATTAGACTTGATCTTCTTAATTATATTGTTCATTCTCAAAGTAGAAAATTATATTGTAATTATTTTAATTTAATAAAATATAATTTAAATTTTTAATACTAAAATTAAAAGATTAAATAATAATGACTTTAATTCTTTAAATTGAGTATTTAGAAACTAAAATTATAGTTTCTCTGTTTTAAATAATTAAAATAAAAATCAATATCAAAACTAGTATTATCTTCATTTTTTTGTTTCAAACTTCTCAATTCTACATTTTTGTAACTTCTATCATTATATTATCATCCTCATCTCATCCCATGTTCTACTTTATCTTTACAATAGTTAATATTCTTAAATAATCTATATTTTTAATTATAAATTTCATAAATTAATCAATTCTAATCTATTATTTGAAAAACTAATCAATTCTAATCAATAATTTAGAAAACTAATCGATTATAATTAATTATTTGAAAAAATTATCAAATATGATCGATCATTTTGAAAATATAATCGATCAGAATCGGATTTCGCTTGAGCGAGAGTAATCTCGCTCAAGCGAAATACAACCCGAGACTTAATATGGTTGTATATGATAGCGGTTCCACCGAACCGCTCTTAAAGGAACTTCTAATAGCGGTTAAACCTTAACCGCTATCTAATATACACTTCAGATAGCGGTTATAAGGGAACCGCTATTATATCCTCTCAATTATGATCGATCATTTCAAGTTATGATCGATCAAAATCGTATTTCGCTCGAGCGAGAGTGGTCTCGCTCAAGCGAAATACAACCCGAGAATGCCAATTTTGTGCGAGGGCGTTTAGCTCGAGCGAGACCATTGTCGCTCAAGAGAAATACATTTTAGATAGCGGTTCCACAAGAACCGCTCTTAAAAGTGAACTTCTAATAGTGGTTAACTATTAACCACTATTTAAATTATACTTTAGATAGCGGTTAACGTGGAACCGCTATCATATCTTCTCAATTATGTTCATCAATCATAATGAAAACTTACATTAACTATTTTTTTGAATATTATGTTTTTAAATTTGCTATTAGAGAAAACCTTTCAGAATTCAAAATGTTAAATACTTTTAAATATTAAAATTAACTTTATAAAAAATTAGGAAAAAAAATAATCCAAAAGAGTTCAAAAATGTATTATAATATTGTCAATTTTGAGTTTAATTATATTGTTCATTCTCAAAGTAGAAAAATATATTGTAATTAGTTTAATTTAATAAAATATAATTTAAATTTTTAATACTAAAATTAAAATATTTCTGTTGCATGAGGTTTCTTCACTTAAAAGATTTTGCAAAATGCCTCTACAAATGTTTTTAACAATTAAAAACAAAGTATTTTGACAAAAGCTTTCTCAAACAAGTTTTTAACCGATACAGACTTTGATAGAACCGATGAAAATTACTTAAAAGGTCAAGTGAAATGTTTTTACAATATTTTAATCGATACAACTTGATTTTAATCGATTAAAACCACTTAAGGGTTCAGGATGATCGATCATAATGCAATTATGACCGATCAGAATCGATTTTAATCGATTAAATCTCGTTTCAATCGATTAAAACAACTTAAAAATTTCTACACAGCGTTTTAATCGATTAAAACTTATTTTTATCAGTTAAAATAACTTGAAAAGTTTTACAAGAAAGTTTTGCAGTATTTCAATCGATTGAATCGTGAAACAATCGATTAAATCAACTTAGAGGATTTTTTGTAAAGTGTTTTAATTGATATAAACGTTGTCGTATCAGTTAAAACAAATCAGTTAAAGAATCAAGAACGTATTAATGGATTAAAAGAAGTTTTAACTGATTAAAGCTGCACTTTTAACAGATTAAAAGAATCTTTTAACAGATTAATTAAACCAATGAGTTTTGAAAATCTTCTATTAAAGCAGTTTGGCTTGAACTTTTTAACATACATTGAATATCATCTTTTACACATCCTTGAGCAATCAATCAAGCAAACTTCAACACTCTTTTCAAGAAAGATTCGCATCAGTTTTTGAGAAGTTCTTTGAAAATCTTTCTTGAGGCAACTTGATTTCTTTTGAAGAAGAAACACTTACAGAGAATTGCATAAAGCTGGTTTGAGCATTCTAGTTTCTTCTTTTTCATTTCTTTACATTCTTTTTGTATTGTTTGGTGCCTGGAATTTGGGCACTAGTTTCTCTACAGTTGGAATTTGGTTGTAGAGGTTATTAAGAGCTGGAATTTGGTAATACGAGAAAACATTTCGAAAGCAAAATGTTAAATACTTTTAAATATTAAAATTGACTTTATAAAAAATTAGGAAAAAAAATTAATCAAAAAGAGTTCAAAAATGTATTATAATATTTTCGAGTTTTAGTTTAATTATATTTTTCATTCTCAAAGTAGAAAAATATATTGTAATATTATTTTAATTTAATAAAATATAATTTAAATTTTTAATACTAAAATTAAAAGATTAAATAATAATAAATTTAATTCTTTAAATTTAGTATTTAGAAACTAAAATTATAGTTTCTCTGTTTTAAAAAATTAAAATAAATATTTAAAAATAAAAATCAAAACTATTATTATGTTAAATTTATTAAAAGTATAATTAAATCTCTATTTTCTTCAATTTTTTAATATAAATTTTTAAAATATAAATTAATTTCAATTGAAATTTTCAATTGAAAAATAAATTCAAGAATATTTGTTATTAAACTTTTCTTAAACAATGTATTGAATAGTTAACATCACTCTAGTCTTAATTTATTACAATTTAAATTTTTAATAAATTTGATTTATTACAATTCATTTTGTTAATATTGAGACCAAAGTTTATTTTTAAAGTATATTTTAAAAATTAAATTATTTTTAAAAACTAAATTACTTTTAAAAAATAAATTGTAAAAAATATACTAAAACAATTAAAGTATATTTATAAAAAAAAATTAAATATAATAAAAAAATAATATTCATTAGCGACTAGATTTCAATTCGATCAGCTATTTTCTCATTAGCGACCGATTTTAATTCGGTCACTATTTCAATTTGTAATTTGGTCGCTAAATCAGTCACTAAATGATTTTTTTATTTCAGTATGAAATAGCCATCGATTTAGCGACCGAAATTTTGCTACGCAAAAATATTGGTCGCTATTTCGGTCGCTAAATAAAAAAGTGCAAAATAAATCATATTTTGGTCGCTAAATCGGTCGCTAATTGCAACCGAATTAAAGTGGTCGCTGAATTGGTCGCTAATTGCAACCAAATTAAAGTGGTCGCTAAATCGGTCGCTAAAACGGTCGCTAAAACGGTCGCTAATTGTGACCGAAAAATTTCGGTTGCTAATTTCGGTGGCTAAATGTGTTTTTTCTTGTAGTGTGGTGATGAGGAAAATAGGAAAATTAAGGTTGAACCTTAATTTACAGTAACCAATTTCCCACTTAAACTGAACTTCTCTCTCCTCCTTGTATCAACTTGTTGCTTCATTTATGTAAGCTGGATCCAACCTCATTCCAGACACATAGCAAGGACAAATATTTCATGGTTCATTGGAGGATGGATTTTGCAAAATACTGTAATGCACAGAAGACATAATTTACAAACCAACTAATATTAACTGAAGACACAATTTTGAAAATTTCTTCTCCTTCCAATTAGGTTTGGTTCACATTGTCTATTATATTAACCATCTATTTTTCCCCTATGAGGACTGAAGAAGATAACAATCAACTATTGTTATTTTATCTTCATAATTAATTATTTTGGTAAAAGAAATTAAGAAAAGTTATATATTTAGTCTCAATAATTATTTAATTAACCATTTTTAATCTTCAATTAGATTAATTAGTTTTACTAAAATATTTTAATTATTTTAGCGCATAAATAAAAAATAATGTTAATAATCTAATTCTCCTATGAGGATGAAAAAAATGATTAACAGTCCAATATTATTATTCTTTCTCCAGAATTAATTATTTAAGAGAAAAATTATATAAATAAATTTATTATCATGAACTACTTAATCCATTTTTAATATTTATCAATCCCTTATCTATTAGAAATTAAGATGAAATTGACCCACCCATCAACCTACCAACTCAAATAAATGTCACAGTCCTGGTAACGAATGCAACACGTTGAGCCTCTGCAAAATATCTTAAGAGTTATAATTTATATTGTAACTGGATATATAAACCCTAAATCTTAAAGATTCTTCGTGTAGAGTGGCAAATAATTCTTTTGTTATCCATAGTTATAAATAATTCTACGTATAGATTAGAAATTTATGATGACAATTATTTTCTTAATTAGAAGGATTAAATACGAAATTCAAAATTAATTTATATATAAAAAAAATTGGATTGAGAAAACTATTGGATTTGAATCTCTTGAATAAAATAAATTGACATTTAGAAGTAACAGAAGCTGTCCTTTATAGTTTAGACACTCAAGCAACAAATATACTATAATTTTTAAAATAATCTCTAAATTAATTACATCAATATTAATATATTTAAAGTTAAAAAGTTAAGTTTTAACCAACATAATGAGTGAGTGATAGTAATTTGCATTCTTTAATAAGTAGTTTAAGATTCAAATCATGATTATATTATGTAGATGTGAAATAAATCATGTTAAAAAAACCTTCAATTTATATTAATATTTTGAGATAGAAGAAGTAATTGTGACTTCTCTTTTCTTTGGCATTAATAAGATAAACCAGACGAAGTGTGGCAGAGAGTACAAATTGGGCACTGTTAGTGTATTGTTTCTCTTTCATTTACCTACAATCACGGGAACAATGAACATCTAAAGACAATTTTGTTGATTCATATTTTTCATTTGTCATCTCTGCGCTAAACCAAATCCACATACTTTCTATGGAGGGAAAACAATTCAATGTGAGACCAACATATTCATTTCTTTTTGTGTTTTTGCTAGGCTTCAAACCACTTGTTACAGAGGCACAATCACCCAACTATGCGGGAGATGACTGCAATTCCACCACCCCAAAATCTCTAAGTAATGCATACAAAACCAACCTTAACAATGTCCTCTCATGGCTATCCTTAGATGCAGCAACAAGCAAAGGCTACAACCATAACAGCTTTGGCAACAACACCCCTGGTGCAGATGCTGTTGTGTATGGCCTCTATGATTGCCGTGGTGATGTTGTTGGATACTTTTGTCAGTTCTGCGTGTCCACTGCTTCCAGAGAAATTCTTCAGCGCTGCCTTAATAGGGTATCTGCTATTATATGGTATGATTTCTGCATCATAAGGTACTCTAATGAGAACTTCTTTGGGAATGTTACAGTAGACCCATCATGGAATCGTGTAGGACCAAAAAATGTCTCCAGTGCGGAAGAGATTCGGAAGGGTGAGGGTTTTATGAGAAGTTTGATCAGAAAAGCAACTGTGGAGACCAACCAGTTGTACTACATGGATGGCTTCAATTTGAGTTCCACTCAGAGAAGGTATGGCTTGGTTCAGTGCAGTAGAGATCTCACAAGTGATGGATGCAGAGAGTGTTTGGAGGCCATGTTAGCAAAAGTTCCCAAATGTTGTGAACGTAATTTGGGCTGGCAAGTTTCCACTGCAAGTTGTCTCATAAAGTATGATGACTATATTTTCTACCTTTTTCGCAGTCCAGCATCTTCAGTTTCTGTGCCTGATACACACATAGGTGACACTTATTCAATAGCTTTTTCTTCTCCAGCAATCATGATAAGACTAATAATAATCACTTTCTTCTAGGAATAATTTATAATTTTATTAGATTTTACATGAGTCAGTTTGTTATTTTGTATATTTATGAATCAGGTTAAATCTTGTAAATCCGTTTTAAAAGCAAGTGTGCTTCTTTTATATTGGTACAGCCAAACAAAGGGGTGCCAGTAAGGCAAAAATATTGATCCTTGGCCTAAGCGTTCTGGGAGCAGTAGCTTTGCTATGTTGCAGTGTTTATTGCTTCTGGTTCAGGAAAAGAACTAGAAGAGGAAGAGGTAATTTTCTGTAACAATACATGGTGGAATTTGTTAGATAATCTTAAATTACTAGGGTGGTTTCTTTAATTTAGTATGAATCTGCAGTTATTTGGTTAGTTTGTTTTGATGGGTTGCTGAGATATCGCAGTAAAATTTTGTTCTGCGGTTAGATATTTGTTAAGAGGTTATTTTCTTGTTAATCTGGTACATTGTACATGGTTATTTAAAGTCATCTCAGTCAAATAAAAACATATAGTGAGTTGCTACGTTCACACAATATATTAGTGTTTTTCGCATCTTAGCTTCTACAAAGTGGTATCAGAGCTTTATGCTTTGAGTACTGAGTGTGAGAGGAAAAACAGAGTGCGCCTGTGTGCATTTAAAAAAAAAGCGAGAGTAATGGCGAAGGTAGTTAATGGAATGACCGTAGCACAACTGTCAAAGAAAACCAATTATGATAATTGGTGTTTACAGATGAAGACTCTGTTGGGTTCCCAAAGTCTATGGGACATAGTAGAGAAGGGGTTCCGAGAACCCGAGGAGGACGAAGACCAATCTGTGGCTCAGATTGCCAAATTGGAAAAGACACGAGTGAAGGATAAATCAGCTTTGTATTTTTTGTACAATGCTGTGGATGAATCGGGTTTCGAGAAGATTGCAAACGCTGCGTCTTCAAAGGAAGCATGGGAGATTTTGGAGGTTGCGCACAGAGGTAACCACTGTGTCAGATAGATCCGACTTCAAACTCTCCGAGGAGAGTTTGAATGTTTGAAGATGGAAGATAAGGAGCAAGTATCCGAGTATATAACTCGGGTGGAGAAGGTGGCTAACCAACTCGGAAGGAATGGGGAACCAATGTCAGCAAATAGGATTGTGGAGAAAATCTTGAGATCATTAACAGATGATTTCGAGAGTATTGCATGCGCAATTGAGGAGTCAAAGGACTTGTCAATTCTCTTAGTAGAAGAGCTCACTGGGTCACTCGAGGCCCACGAACAAAGGAGGAGGAAGAAGGAGGATACTCTTGTTCAAGCACTACAAGCAAAACTTGATTCGAATGGAACTCGGAACACTCAGGGCCAAGGATCCGAAGGCCAAGGACGAGGTAATCAAAGGCGAGGTGGACGTGGCCGAGGTAATCAAGGACGAGGTGGACGTGGCCGAAGTGATCATGGAGAACGAGGTAATCATGAAGGTAGACAAGGAAGAGGTAATCATAGCCAAGGAAGTCAACCAAAGTCGGAGGTGGAATGCTATAAGTGTGGCAAGCACGGCCACTACGCAAAGGAATGCAGATCGGCAAATTGCTACAACTGTGGCAAATACGGTCACATAGCAAAGTATTGTCGAGCTGAAAGCCAAGGTGAAAAGAAAGAGAAGAACCTTCTCACGGAAGAAGAGGACGAGGAAGTAGGAATTTTGATGATGACGCGAGCTCGGAGACCAAGCTACGTCAGAGTTATGCCTCCGAGGTTGAACTAAACTTAAGTTGCATGGAAAAGTCGATGAGAAGTTAAAGTCCAAGCTTGATTCGGGTTGCTTAAACAACTCGATCCGGTATTTGGACACTGGAGCGAGCAATCATATGTGTGGAGAAGAGAGTTTCTTTAATGAACTCACCAAGGTGAATCTTTGGATTCGTGTCATTTGGGGATGATTCCAAGGTGGTCAGTAAAAGGGTGTGGAACCATCAAGCATATGCAGAAAGATGGACGAGTTGGAGAAATAAGGGATGTCTACTACGTTCCCGAGCTTAAGAGCAACATATTAAGCATGGGACAGATGATAGAGAAAGGAAACTCTGTTCTGATGAAGGATCAAGTACTCTATTTGAAAGACAAGCATGATCGGTTAGTAGCCCAGGTAGAAATGAAGAAAAATCGAATGTATAAACTAGAGCTGAACATCCTGCAGAAAAGGTGTTTGAAGTTGGACGTTAAGGATGAAGCAATGATGTGGCATTTTCGATTTGGGCACTTAAATTTTGGAGGCCTGGCCGAACTGTCAAGGAAGGAACTAGTACTTGGACTACATGGCGTAGAGTTTGAAAAGAAGTCTTGTGAAGAGTGTGTGCTCGGAAAACACCCGAGGACTAGTTTTCCGAATTTGACCAAGTACAGGACAAAAGAGCAACTCGACCTAATACACACCGACTTGTGTGGACCAATTTCTCCTAGTTCATTTAGTGGTAAGAAATATTTTATTTTATTCATAGACGACTTCTCTCGGAAAGCTTGGGTGTATTTCTTACAAGAAAAATCAAAAGCATTGGAGGTTTTTAAGAAGTTCAAACAGATGGTGGAGAAAGAGATTAACAAACAGATTAAAGCATTACGATCTAACAGAGGAGGAGAATTCACATCAGCAAAGTTCATGGAGTATTGTGAAGAGCAAGGTATAAGACGTTTTCTCACAGCTCCATATTCACCACAACAGAACGGTGTGGCTGAAAGGAAGAATCGGACCATCCTTGATATGGTTCGAACCATGCTTAAAGGAAAGAACATGCCCAAGGAATTTTGGGCAGAGGCAGTGCAATGTGCTGTTTATATACAGAACAGGTGCTCGCATTCCAAGCTAGATGGTGTGACACGCAAGAAGCATGGAGTGGACGAAAGCCGAGTGTAAACCATTTCAAAGTCTTCGGAAGCTTGGCTTACGGTCATATCCCGACCTGACTCGAGAACAAAACTTGATGACAAAAGCAAAAGGTATGTATTAATTGGGTATGATGAAAAGGCAAAAGCCTACAAACTGTATAATCCGGCTACAGGTAAAGTTTTGGTGAGTCGAGATGTCCAGGTAGATGAAGAGAGTGAATGGAGCTGGGATGACTCAAAGGAGAAGTCTTCTGGGAGCACGGTCTCTGAGAGAGAGAGCTCGATAACAATTGAGAGGAACCCAGAAACCACAGCTGAAAGGACGAACAAGTATTCTGAGGAAGACAATGAACCTGTACAACTCAAAACTCAGAGTTTGCAGGACATCTATAACTCCACTGATGAGGTACATGTAGTGTGTCTATTGACAGGTGCAGAAGATGTCAAATTTGAAGAGGCCATACTCGATAAGAGATGGAAGAAAGCAATGGATGAGGAGATCAACTCAATTGAGAAAAATGAAACATGAGAGCTAACAGATCTACCCACAAGAGCTCGGCCAATTGGTTTGAAGTGGATATATAAAAAGAAAACCAATGCTAATGGGGAGGTGGAGCGTTACAAAGCCCGACTCGTGGTGAAGGGCTACAGACAGCAGAAAGGCATTGACTATGATGAGGTCTTTGCACCCGTAACAAGGATGGAAACGATCCGATTGTTATTTTCATTAGCAGCACAACACGAATGGAAGATACAGCAGATGGACATGAAGTCTGCATTCTTGAATGGGATTCTGGAGGAGGAGGTCTACGTGGAGCAACCTCTAGGCTACATGAGAAGAGGTGAAGAGAAGAAGGTATTGAAGCTCAAGAAGGCACTATATGGGTTGAAGGAATGAGAGAATAGACACCTATTTCAAAAGGAATGGTTATGAGCAATGTCTGTATGAACATGCTCTGTATTTAAAAAAGTATAAAGGAGATACTTTATGTATTGCTCTATACGTAGATGACCTAATATTTATGGGAAGTAAAGATGAGCTAGTTGAAGATTTTAAAGAAGTGATGAAGAGGGAGTTTGAGATGACCGATCTAGGCATTATGAAGTATTTTTTGGGTTTAGAGGTGGACCAAAGCACGACAGGTATTTTTGTGTCCCAAAAGAGGTATGCCGAGGAGATTTTAAGCAAGGAAAAGATGATGAAATGCAATCCAATTTCTACTCCCATGAACCTGGAACAAAGTTATCTAAAAATGGAGAAGGAGAAAAAGTTGATGCAAGCAGGTACCGAAGCCTAATCGGAAGTCTAAGTAAGGTATTTGACAAGTACAAGACCTGACCTAATGCTAAGTGTGGGAATTACAAGTCGCTTTATGGAGGATCCGAGATATTCTCATTAGAAAGCATTAAAGAGGATACTAAGGTATGTGAAGGGAACAATGTCATTTGGATTGTGTTTCACTAAGTCAGACAACTATCGACTTACTGGATATTCGGACAGTGATTGGTGTGGAGATATGGATGATCGAAAAAGCACAGCTGGGTACGTATTCTTCATGCGAAACACGTCTTTCACATGGTTATCAAAGAAACAACCAATTGTGGCTCTATCAACGTGTGAAGCCGAGTATGTAGCAGCATCTTGGAGTGTCCAACATGCAATTTGGCTTAGAAACTTGCTAAGCAAACTGGAGATTATGAAAACTGAGAAAGTATTGATCCGAGTAGATAACAGGTCGGCAATCGAGTTAGCCAAGAATCCAATCAATCACGAAAGGAGTAAACACATCGATGTCCGTTTTCATTTCATCAGGGAGAAGGTGAAAGAAGGAACCGTGGAGCTCGAACATGTAGGAAGTAAAGAACAAATAGCTGATATCTTTACAAAACCATTGTCCACAACAACATTTCAGGAGTTAAGGAAGTTACTCGGGATGAAAGAAGGAAATATTTAAGCTTATGGGGGAGTTTTGTTAGATAATCTTAAATTACGAGGGTGGTTTCTTTAATTTAGTATGAATCTGCAGTTATTTGGTTAGTTTGTTTTGATGGGTTGTTGAGATATCGCAGTAAAATTTTGTTCCACGTTTAGATATTTGTTAAGAGGTTATTTTCTTGTTAATCTAGTACATTATACATGGTTATTTAAAGTCATCTCAGTCAAATAAAAACATATAGTAAGTTGCTACGTTCACACAATATATTAGTGTTTTTCGCATCTTAGCTTCTACAGAATTTGCTTGATGTAGCTTATTTCACATACTCAAATATGAAGTCAAGAACTTGTCTTCTCTGTAGCTGGGCGTAGTATACCTGATACAATTCGTCTATCATCATATCACAATGTTCAAACTGAGGAAACACTGAACCCGGACCTGCTTACAATACCATTAACCACAATTCTTAAGAGTACTGATAACTTTTCAGAAGCATCTAAGCTAGGGGAAGGTGGATTTGGCCCCGTCTACAAGGTATTAATATTTGGAATTTATGTCATAGATTCTTTATTTTGATCATTTTTAATGCTTTTAGTCATATAGTTCATGCAAACTTCTGCCAGGGAATTCTGCAGGATGGAAGACAAATTGCAGTCAAACGACTCTCACAATCTTCTGGTCAAGGGTCAGAAGAGTTCAAGAATGAAGTAATGCTCATAGCTAAATTGCAACATCGCAACCTTGTCAGACTTCTGGCATGCTGCTTGGAGGACAATGAAAAGATACTTGTATATGAGTATATGTCGAATGCAAGTCTCAACTTTCACCTGTTTGGTACGTTCTTATTTAGCTTCATTGAATAACAGTGTTTATGGTAGCTTTTTAGGTTTTGCTTCAATATTTTGAGTCAATGGAAACAAGTCAAACAATGCGTGCTTATTTATCTATGGGATATAAAGTAGTTGGTAGTATGGAGTATATTTATTGTATATAGGTAGCAGGTAGCACCAATTATATTGTTCATATAATATTTATATCTGTTGTTTTCAAACTACAGGTCCATTTTTTATATAGTTAATACTCAAAAAAATTGACAATATTTTACCTGTTCATAATGTGAAACTAAATTGAAGTCCTCTTATTTAATCAATAATCGTGTTATGTGATAACTTCGCGGGTAGAAAAGAGAGTGAATAAACAATTCTTCTGGTGATTTTTTGTTCTTTTATATTCTAAGTTCAAGGCTTAGAATATGTAACATGCCAGTTTCATTAAGTCTTTATCCTTCATATATTCGTTTTTGGTTGAAATTTCTTCTGTGCATATATATTGTCAGATGAAAGAAAGAAAAGGCAACTCGATTGGAAACTAAGATTAAGCATTATCAATGGCATAGCAAAAGGTCTTTTATACCTTCACGAGGACTCTAGACTCAAAGTTATTCACAGAGATCTCAAAGCCAGTAATGTTCTATTAGATGATGAGATGAATCCTAAAATATCAGATTTTGGGTTGGCAAGGTCATTTGAGAAAGGCCAGAACCAAGCAAATACAAGACGAGTAATGGGCACCTTGTGAGTTCTACCTATACCTAAAATTTCCTAAGCATATGGTTGAAAACTAAAATTGCTTGTTACATATAGTTTAATGAAAAAGTTAACAAGATTTTGTTGATTTTCATTAGTGGATACATGGCTCCAGAGTACGCTATGGAAGGATTGTTTTCAGTGAAATCTGATGTTTTCAGTTATGGAGTTCTTGTTCTTGAAATCATTTGTGGGAAAAAGAACAGTGGATTCTATCTATCAGAAGAATGTGGTGAAAGTCTTACATTATATGTGAGTTTTCAGTGTTACCCGATCAAAACAGTAGAATAAATTTAAACATAAACTCATTTTTTTCTTCTCAACTCATACTAAATTTATTTTCTTCCTTCATGTCTCTTTCTTTCTTGTCTCATTATTTCATATATTTCTGTCTTTACTTCCATCTCACACACCTCAAAACAGTAATTATGCAACAGTGTTAACTAGCTTATATCAAATTCAAATATTGCAATTACTTGCAGGCTTGGAAAATTTGGTGTGCAGGAAAATGTTTGGAACTAATGGATCCAGTGCTGGAAGAATCTTGTGTAGAGAGTGAAGTTGTGAAGTGCATGCACATTGGTCTGTTGTGTGTTCAAGAAGATGCAGCAGATAGACCAACCATGTCCAGTGTGGTTGTAATGTTAGCAAGTGACGTATTGTCTCTTCCAAAACCTAACAAGCCAGCATTTTCAGTAGGAAGAATGACCTTAGGGGATGCATCTACATCGAAAAGTTCCAAGAATCTTTCCATTAATGATGTAACTGTCTCTAAAATTTTACCAAGGTGATGGAAACTTTGATACAAACTTTCCTTTGTTGCTTTGAGAAGCGACAAGACTAGAAGACGAACGAGAAGACTTTAGGACTTTCTGAAATGAGGTTAACTTTCAGATATTATTTAAATATTATTTATATTGTTAAGATAATGTTAATCATAATATCACACAATATTTTTTATTTACTCTAATTATTTTTTAGTTACTCTTTTTAGCTGTATCTCTCTCTATTATAAATAGATTACCTTATGTGTGATTTATATATAAGAGAGATTAATCTCAAACTTTATTTTCTCTATATTCAACATGTTATCTAGAACTTAAGGCTATTTTGAAATATTTTCGCCTTTATCCACTGCCACCACCGTCGCCACTGCTGGAGCCGCTATCGGAGTTTCATTTTTTACCAGCGACATACGATTTTGCTTGTCTTGGTCAAGCGACCACCATACAGTTGAGATCACCACTATCGGAGTTGGTCATCTATTGTCTCTAACGTTGTTTAGTCTCGACGGATGTGTTTTGGTCTTCTCATTTTGGATATGTGTTTCGTAGGTTGATTGGACTACTTTAGAATTTTTTAGGATTTGTTTTACCTCCCTTCATGACTTCTTCCGCTCCTTCTGTTTCATTCGACACACCTGCTATGTTCAACAAATTTCTAAAATGGTATAAGGATCAACAGTCTTCTAGTTCCATTGCATTTGTTGCACACACATGTACATCTTTTGTTGGTCTGACTCAATCTTCTTCTCCTGGTCCTTGGGTTTTTGATTCAGGAGCTATTGATCATATTACTGGTAATAAATCATTATTCTCCTCTTTATCATCTTCTAATCTTTTACCTTTTGTTACACTGGTTGATGACTCTAGAGTATTATCTCATGATGTTGGAACTATTAAATTTTTCCCTTCTTTAACCATTGATAATGTTCTTTTATGTCCTTGGGTCTCATTTTAACATGTTGTCCATCAGTTGTCTAACTCGTTCTCTTGATTGTGTTGTTTCTTTTACCAACAATTATATATGTTTACAAGATCGGAGTTTGAAACAGGTGATTGGCACAAGATGTGAGTCTCATGGTCTTTATCATCTCCATCCACTATAAGAAAATCATTAATTACCGACGGATAGTTACGGCGGATATGTAGTCGTCGAAAAATGAGTGATTACCGACGGATTTAAAGTATTTGTGGAATTTGGTCTTACCGACGGATATATTCGTCGGTAAATGAACAATTAATAACTAGTTACCGATGGATATATCCATCGATAAATTAATAATTAATTACCGATCGGATATTACCGATGGATTTAAAATATATTTTTAAAAATCAACATTAAATTAAAAAAAATATTTCAAATATATAAATATATAAATATATGAATATATAAATATATTTTTATTTATATTTTTTATATTTATATATTTATACGGATATACATTTATTTATATATAAATATAATTTATTTGTAAGTTATTATTAGAAAATCGTAATAACTTAGTGGTTGGAGTATCAACCTCTAATTCTAAGATATGTCTTTGTGTTCGAATCTTGCCAATTACAATTCTCTTCATTTGATAATAATTCAAAATGTAATAAATAATAATAATAATAATAATAATATAAAGGGGAGGGTGGCCTCTAAATAAATATAAAGTTTGTATCTACCTTATCCAAGTTGTCTAGTTTAGTGTGTGAGTCGTGTCAATTAGGCAAGTATAGTTATACTTCTTTTCCTCGTAGTGTTACACGTGGTACTTTATCCCTTTTTGTCGTGGTTCACTCTAACATTTGGGGACCTAGTCGCGTTAATTCTACTTTAGGTTTTCAATTCTTTTTTACTTTTATTGATGATTATTCCAGATATACTTGGTTATTTTTTATGAAAAATCGTTTTGAATTATTTCATATCTTTCAATCTTTTTTTAATGAAATTTGAACTTAATTTGGTGTTTCTATTAGTGTTTTGCGCAGTGATAATAACCGTGAATATCTTTCTCATTCTTTTAAACAATTCATGACTTCTCACGATATTCTGCATCAAACTTCTTGTGTTTATATACCTCAACAAAATGGTGTAGCTGAACGTAAAAATAGACATCTTATTGAAACAACTCGCACTCTTTTAATTCTTGGAGAGATTCCTTAACATTTTTGGGGTGATGCTCTTCTTACTGCATGTTATCTCGTTAATCACATGTCTTCTTCGGTTTTAGATAATAAAATACCTCATTCCATTTTATTCCCTCATGACCTCTCCATCCCTTATCTCTAAAAGTTTTTTGGTCTACATGTTTTGTTCATAATTTCAGTCATAATCTTGATAAGCTTTCTCCTAGATCACATAAGTGTGTTTTCTTAGGGTCTACAATATTACAAAAAGGATACAAATGTTTTTCTCCTTTTCTGAACTGTTATATTTGTGTTTGTAGACATCACCTTTGATCAGTTCTCCATTTATTCTAAAAGTCAATTTTTAACTTTGTCTTCATCCAATATTGTCAACACTCCTAGTACATTTAATGTTCCTGTTGTTTATGACCCTCTAATTATGTTTTCTTCACCATTAGTTCTTACTCCGCAGTTAGCTTCTTCTCCACCGCCCCTTCAGGTTTATAGTCGCTGAAACCGATCACAACCACCACCATGTGACTCCACCTAAGTGTCAACTACTTTGTCTCCTCTAGCTCTAATACCTGAGTCTGATCTTCTCATTGCCCTCCGAAAAGGCATCTGCTCTACACATAATCTTTCTCCCTATTATATTACTTTAAGTTATTATCGACTATAATTACCTTTTTATATATGTTTTTCCTCTATTTCTCCTGTGACCATTCCAAAAACTATGTGTGAAGCTTTAGCCCATCCTGGTTGGTGTCAGGCTATGACAGATGAACTAAATGCTCTTCATAATAGTAAAACTTGGGAATTGGTCTCGTTACTGTGTGGGAAATCTGATGTTGGTGGGTGGTTGTTATCAAAGTTGGATCTGATGGTATTATTAATCGCGTCAAAACTCGTCTTGTAACCAAATGTTATACTCAAATTTTTGGATTAGATTATAAAGATACATTTTCTCCCGTGGCAAAGATGGCTTTTGTTCGTTTATTTATCGCCATGACTGTTTTTCAACAATGGTCTCTTTATCAACTAAATGTTAAAAATGTCTTTCTCAATGGTGATTTGCAAGAAGAAATCTATATGGAGCAACCTCCTAGGTTTATTGCTCAGGGGAGTGTTCTAAGATGGTATGTCGTCTTCACAAATTCCTATATGACCTAAAACAGTATCCTAGGGCCTGGTTTGGAAAGTTTAGCAATGTTGTTCAATAATTTGGTATGACTCAGTGTTAAGTAGATCATTCTGTATTTTATCGATACTCGAGTGCTGGATGGTTTACTTGATAGTATATGTTGATAACATCGCTCTTACAAGTAGTGACAACCATGACATCTCTCAGTTGAAACAACATCTCTGTCACAATTTTCAAACCAAAGATCTTGCAAACTTATATATTTCTTGGGTATTGAGGTGGCATAATCCAATGATAGTATTATTATATTTCAAAGGAAGTATGTCATGAATATTTTGGAGGAAATTGGGTTGATGAGTTCAAAGTCTGTTGATATACCCATAGATCCTAATACTAAACTTCTACCAAATTAAAGGAAGCCTCTATCTGATCCTGAAGAGTATAGAAGATTGATTGGGAAATTTAATTATCTTACAGTTACTCGTCCTAACATTTCCTTTGCAGTCAGTGTGGTAAACCAATTTCTTAATTCCCCATATGAAAATCATTGGAATACAGTTATTCGTATCTTAAAGTATATTAAAGGATTTCCTAGAAAATGATTGTTATATGATTATAATAATCATACAAGAGTTGTTTGCTATTCAGATGCTGATTGAACAGGATCTCCTTCTAATAGAAGATACACATTTGGGTATTGTGTCTCCATTGGTGATAACTTGATCATGTGGAAAAGTAAGAAACAGAGTGTTGTGACAAGATCCGGTGCAGAAGCAGAATATAGAGTTATGGCCTCAGCTACATATGAACTTATTTGACTCAAACAATTGCTTAGAGTTACAATTTGGAGATGTCATTCAAATGACACTTGTGTGTAACAATCGAGTTGCTCTTCATATTAGTTCTAATCCTGTTTTTTATGAGAGGATCAAACACATTGAGATTGATCTGTAATTTCATTCGGGAAAAGATTATGTTTAAAGACATCAAGACTGAGTTTGTTAACTCAAGTGATTAGTTAGCAGATATTTTTATAAAGTCTTTATGGAGCCTAAAATTGATTATATTTATAACAAACTTGACACATATAATTTGTATGTTCTAGTTTGAGGGAGAATATTAGATATTGTTAGATATTACTAATCACAATATCAAACAATATCTTCTATTTACTCTAATTATTTTTTTAGTTACTTCTTTTAATTGTACCTCTATCTATTATAAATAGATTATTCTATACGTGGTTTATACATAAGAGAGATTAATCTCAAACCCTATTTTCTTATTGTTACGCATCTATTATACTAAATCATGTATAACGAATAGGCTCTTGCAAATAAGTGACAATTTTCCATTTTTATATATTCTGATATCACATCTAGAAAAATTTTAATGTTATCATTTTATATAACAGTAGAAATTCATATTTAATGTTAGTTTCTCACATAATTTTTTTGATAAAAGAAAATAAGAATTCAACTTCTGTGAGTCAAAAAGTTTCAATACAATAAATTATGATTGTACTTTTATTTCATGTGATAAAAATTAATATTATTTTAATATAATCCTCGTATTATTTTAGTTTTTAAAAACTTAAATCATGTGTTTTAGAAAATCGTGTTTTTCAGTATAACTTTTCTTTCTAAAAAAGAAGATAACAACTACTTTTGTTAACATTAAACAATAATTGATTCAAATACATTCGATGTTTATTTGAACTAATGAAATTAATTAAAATGTACGTACATTTTTATTTTACATTTAATAGAGTTTAATTAACCGTTTATATTATTAGTATTAAAAAGAATATACTACCAACTATTAAATATGACTTTGAAGCAATTATTATAATAATAATGAATAATCTTCAATTCTATGACATGAAAGTGTAAAAAGAAACTTTTATTCGAACAAAGCATTCCAATTAGATTTATTTAATTAAGTTTCTCAGTGAAATTTTGTTTTTTTAGCCTCTTATAACAAGTTTCAAATCAAATTTCTCAGTGACATAAACCCTTATAGGAGGAGTTCATTGATTAAGAACTAAATTAAGTTTTTTTATGCAAACGCATCCATTGGAAAAAATCATAGGCGACAAATAAGAAGATGAATTAATTTCACTGTTAAACCAGGAAAAAAAAAAAGCATTAAGACAGCCATTTTTTTTCCAGGTACTAACCCCTTAGTTCCCAAGACATACGACTACATAGGAGGAGAGGTAACAAACTGCCTAGGAACACTGAATAAGTCCTTCCCAGCAAAAGGAGAGGTCCACTCTCTCAATCCAGCAGATGATGAAGTTTCCCTAGCCATGCCAACATTTTGCAATCCACCCATGCAGGGACTGATTCTCCTATTTCCGTAACTGTTTCTCAACAATGAAGAGATCCCTAGACACGGTCCACCCGAAGAAGATGGCACATTCAAACTCCAATCTATGCTGGTGTAATCAAATTCTGGCATTAAGCCCCCAGTATTCCAATCCATGTGTGAATGTGAGTTGAATGTTCTGGCTGCATTCTGATGACCAGAAAATAGTCCAAGGGAGGTTGGCACTGCAAGCGCAGGTGAAGGCGCATTCGAGCTCCATGAACCTTGATGACGAGGGGGAATGGAAGGTGAAGGTGATGATGATGCACCCATTGGCTTGCAGAAACCACCCACCCCAGCAGATGAGTAATCTACTGGTCCAAAGAAATGAGAATATTCTTTGTAAGGAGCTTGACAAAATTGCTCCAAATGATTTGGACTAACACTTCTTACACTTTGAGTTTGTAGTAACTTCCCATTTGACCTCACATTTTCAACACCTGGAATGCTATTTACATACCACCCTGCTGCTCCTGATGGAAAGGAATTTAAAGAAACCATAGAGTTCTGTTTGGCATTTGTGAATTGTAGATGTTGCATCATTATCGGCTCCCTTCCTAGTCCTTGATGAATCATTCTTCCTTCGTTTGTAATGCCAATAGGCCGGCCACCCTCCATTTTAACCGATGGGGACACTGATTGCATGGATGGTGCCATGGTTAACATAGCAGAAGAAGGGCTTGATCCTGGAACACCATTCCATCTTTTCTCTGTCATTACATTTGGATGATTCGGTTGTAGAGACTGTACATTCCCGATTTCAAGATCTGGGAACATAGAATCAGAACCACCTTCCTTGCTGTAATGGTTAAAATCACTTTCATTCCCTCTCTGCTGCATAGAAACTGACATTGCCGGTAATCCTCTCACCAGACTATTATTGTTCTGTGCAGAATCTTCGGACTTTGATTGGGACCCTGTATATTCTTGCTTCTGTGTTTTTAAGGTATTTTCCGCCTTTTGAAGATCACCTTCACAGGCAACAATTGCCCTTTCTACCTCTTGCTTTGAACAATTGTACTTCACCTCCAAGGCAGAAATCTGAGCAAGCTCGTCCCTTATGTCAATTTTCAAATTACCCTCGCTCACAAGGCTAGTAGTATCCTTAGTTTGTGATTGTTCTTCATTGGCTTCAAATAGCCAGGATACTGATTGCTCTAATTTTCCATCGTTTAACATTAAGGCCAGTGTTGCTCGTTCAGAAGAGAACCCCATTGCCACTAATTGCTGTGCAAGTGATTCTAGCTTTCTTGACAATAGGTACCCACGACATCGGTCATGCAACTCTTGAGCTCTCCTTTCCCTCTGCCTCTGGTGTTTCCTCTCGTTCTTCAAACGTATTTTCTCCCTTCTGTCATTATCACAGCCAGGTACGCTATCCGGTCGAGTAGAAGAGACTGTTACCACTACCTTCTCTTTAGACTCTTCTGAGTCACCAGAGCAGCTTCCATTGATAGAAACTGTATCACACTCAGACACTGCTCCTTGAGGACTACTAGAATGCTCGTCTGCATCATCTACTTTCAGAAAATGACTGTTGTCATGGACTCGAGTAGAAGAAGCAACCAATGATGTTTCTGGAGTTTGAAATGTTCCCAAGATGGGATTGTGTGCACTAGCAAGAATGTCACTTCCATGTGTAGGAGACACGGAAGTCTTTGGAGAAGTCTTCTGCTGCTCCTTACCAGCCCTTGCAGAGGCCTTCTCCTGGGACTTGGATTTTGATTTCACTGATGGAGACATTCTATTGGTTGCTGTACTTGCCTGCATTAAATATAGACAAAAATAAAGTAGATTCAGTCTTCATTTTATATGTAACAAAACAATTAATTATAACAGAACTATGTAGGAAATTTTCTAATTATTCAATTCGCAAATTGCGAATATTATAACATGGAACAAAACAGCTAGGCATTGAAGGCTTGTGATAAAATGATCACTTCAATTAACCATGCATTGAATCAAAATTGCTACATACAGTTCCTATATCTACATCTATATCTATAACCCCTTGCAATAATCATTGTCTGTTAAGACATTTGTGGTGTCTACCTAATATTGGTTGCACCAAGTTCACAGGCAAAATTTTCGCAAATTAATGAATTTAAATTAAAAGAAAAGGATATGGGTGAAATTGCAACATATTTCATCTCCAAACTAAATGAACGAATGAATGAAAAATTAACTGTCCTGGGCCTGGCCATGATGGACAATGCCGAATGACATCATATACCAGAACTTCTAATCGACAAAAAAAAAAAAAAGTCATCTCTTTTTCTTTTATTTCGATATGATGAAACTAAAGATGAACATACATATTTCTAAAAACTGGAGAACTTTGGAGAGCCAAAAGCACGGGAATTGAACACCATTAGAAATATAAAATATGTAAGATCGTTATTAAAAGTAATCCTTGATAGATCAGAACGAAAAGAATTCCAAGAACTAAGATCAGAATCCATTTCTATTTGTCCAAGGAACCTTGCCGACAATAATCGACATCATATCAACTGCATCCATTTCTAAGACACCAATTTCACCAGCTTGGATAAAATTATACCAATTAATCAAATCCAACCAATTAGAGAAAACAAAAAACAGAAATTTTGAACATAAACTTTCAAATAATTCATATAAAAAAAAACTCTTAACAATAATCAAAATGAGGTACGCACAAACAGTGTTCCTGATTCCCCCTCACAGAAACAAATATCACTTCCTTAATTGGGAATCACAAAAGAAATGTTCCAAACCCACCAAGATAAAATCCTAAAGATCCAAACTTCACCCCTACCCATCATCACACAGAACATCCAAAACCATACAAATTCAGATCACAGACTTTAAACCATAAAAAAATAAAAATAAAAATAAAAATCCGATTAAAAGTTAAATTCCCAGAAAACATAGAACAACCCACATCCATAGGTGATTCAAGAAGAAGAATAAATCAAATAAACTGACCTATGAACCACACAACAGAACCTCTGAAGATGATTGGCGTTTCTGTGTTCGTATGTTTCTCCTTATTCTTCCTCCCCTTTTCTCTGTTTTCGATATTGCTGTGAGTATTCTAATAATATAAAGTAGTTTCCTCCTTTTTCTTCTAACAAAATATAGTTATCATTTTTCTTTTTCTCTTTGGCCACACGGCACTTTCTCTGTGTCTTTCTGGTCATGTTTGAGGAAAAATAATGTATGATTAAGTACAATGTTTGGATCCCATTTTCTTCATTATTAGAAAGCAAAATTACTATAACAATAGACACTAAAATAGAATTTTTCATCTTTTATTAAGCTTGTAGTAATTACTTTAAAATAATATAATAAAAAATTTTAAGTGATTTAGAGAGCAAATATTTTTGCATTGTCATAAAAACTAAACTTCTTATGATAGATAGATTAACATACTAATAAAATAAAATGATTCATCTACTTGCCCATTAACTTTTACTAACCAGACAAAAGTGCTTTCCCTTTCTTCAACAAAACAGGGACAAACAAGTTTTTTTCAATGTTTTGGATCCCACGAACATGACTTAAATTTAACGTCATCAAAATTTTTTATTTGATTATGTTCCGCTTTCCAACGACACCCCTTTCTTAACTATCTCTTTCATCTTCATTTTCAACTACAAACCACAACCTTGTGTGTTTATATGTATAATGTTATATTTTAATGTAACTTTTTATAATAATTTGTAAATGTGAAATTAGATTAGCTTTGTTCAACTAAAAAAGTTAATAAAAATAATTAGGTATACCAATTGTGAAATTAATTATTATTTAAATGAATTTTGTTGTAATATAGTAATAATAATTACAATGATTTATAATAATATTCAAGGTTTAGAGATATCAAAATATAACTATAATTATATAAAGTCAATAGTAAAGGAGAGAAAATTGTTAGATAGACTTGGTCTTATAATCTTCTTATCAATGCACATAAACACTTCCATTATTTATGTTATTAAACTTTTTTAATATCATTAATTAACCAATCTCTTAATGCTTAAATTCTAAGTTCTCTTAATAATCATTAACTCTAAAGTAATCATGAAAAAAAACATTACTTTTGCATGTACATGAAGCAAAGTAATTTAAATATATTATTTTCTTTAGTGGGGAAATTAATGAAGATAGTGTTTTAAATATTAACTAGATCGTGGAAAATAATTATGTAGAGTTATTGGTTTATATTTTTTGGAAATTAATATTTGTAAAAAATATTTTTCTTTAATTTAATAAATAAATAGAAAATAAGACGGGCATTAAGAATAATCAAAATAGTAAAAAAAAAACATGAAAATAAATAGAATATTAGAATGTTTACACATGTTATCTTCGATGTCATTTTGCATAAAGTGATACAATAGGGGAAGATGATACAAATGTAATATAAATTTTCTTAATAAATCTTAATATCTTAAAATACTACCATCAAAGTAAAAGACGAAAACTCCCATAAATAGAAATTAAATAATTAAGTTTTGAAATTAGAAATAAAATAATTAAGTTTTGTAATTGTTAGTGGAAAATTTGAGAAAATCAAAATAATTATCAGTTTTATTACTTTTATGGTGATGTACAAATTTTACGTTATTTTTTGTGTAATTATGATTTAATATTATAATATAATGATTGTAAATTGTAGAGGTTTCAAAATTAAGCGAAAGATTTACTTCAGCAACCTTTATAATATTTAAATTTGTATCATTGTGTAAGACTTCCAAAATTAAGATGAAAAAATCGTGTATCATGCATAAGAAAACTATTTATAATTAGATAAACAATATCATAAATTTAAACAATTTAAAATTTGTGGAGAATATGTATGCTTTGAATTTTGAGCTTTAGATATTTAGAAATATATTTAATCACTCAAATTGTATTTAGACAAATAAAATTGTCAATTTAATACACATTACAAATTAATTTATCTATACACTAATTGATTTATATATTTTATTTTGAAGGTGTGTATATATTAAATAGTGCTAAAGTCGATCACTTTAAACAAGGTCTCAGGTTGTTTGAATTTTGTGGATGAAAAAAAAAACGTGATTGGGAAAGGAGACTTCACTAAAAGATCAATTTGATTCTCCAAAAGAAATTAATCATGGTAAAAAAAAAAAAAAGTTTATATACCAAATTCTTCACATGAACAAACTGGTATTTTATCAACTAGAACTCTGAAGCTTCTAACATAGTTTCATATTCTACTGTAGAACTATACTATATGTGAGTCTATATCTATTCAAGACGTGCTGGCACAACAAAATGTACATGGTTGGTTTACTAAGGAACTTCCTTTAAACTTTTCTTTGACAGGTTTCCCACCCTCCATATATTGAGCTAAAAGTTCCTCCTCCAAAAGCTTTTGCCTGCTCAAAGATTGTTTCTCTGGCACAACCTTCCCAGAACATTGCTATATCCCCAAGTGACCATGTTTGATTTAAGCATCGGAGAGAGACTCTCAGCTTTGATTTTGCTATTGTTGATAGATCTTTCTGGCCTTCACTACTGTCGAAGTTGAAGAAAAAGGGAACAAGATTTAAACGTTTGATAAAAGCACCACAAAATATTAGGAATCACACAAATAGAACAAAATTATGTAAGGTCTAATTCTTGTTTATGAAATATGAAACTTAATATTTATAGGATTCATTATCTTAGCTCTTGACACCTGTTTCCTAAAAGTCTATCATTCAGGATTAACCTATGAAACATTTTGAAACATCAGTATAATTTCAAATGTATAGGAGGGTAAATGGAAGCCAGTGCCTACTCTTATGCGAAGAGAATTTTGAATAAATAAGACATCATATCAACTAGGTTAGATAAAGCATTTCCAATCCCAAAAATTGTATTTATGTCTTCTCGTGTAAGGAACATTTTATCTTGTATACTATCATTTATCATTTGGGAATATGGTTTATTTCTATCTCCAAATTTCTGACACTGCTGCATTTACACATTCTACAATGAGATTAGTGAGTTATATATTTCCAATGTTCTTTGATCATAAGTATGTATCTTTTTTTAGGAGGTTCCATGACATTGGTACGAAGTATTTATCAACTTTGTTGATAACTAATTTCCGTTCAAAACCAGGTTCGTCATCCTCAGTAGTCTTCCTTCTCAACAAATTTTCATCTATAAGAATTTGAGACTTTACTTAAAACGACCCAAAACCTAATTTCACTCGAACCAATAACATGTTGATGATCCATGTATCTGATAGAGTCCATATAGGTTCATGAATGATTTCACTTCTGTGTTGTACAGTATAATGTGGTTGTCTTAGCTTGCAGTTGTTTGCCAGTTCATCATAGTAACTGCATCACATTTTTAGTATGCACTAAACATATTGATTTCAATGTTTTAGAGAAACAGAATTTCTCTATCAAAATTTCAGATTATCAGTTTTTCTCTGGATCTCTTTGAATGGCATCAGAGAGCTTATGACCAAGCTGGAGTTCAGTCATTATAACAAATGATTTGACTATTGTTTAGTTATCGTCTTATGGTCCTAAGGATAATTCCTTTATCACAAACTCAGGACGAAGTTTGATTCAAAGCTTGATCATATCTCAAATGGTAAATATTTTTTGGGCCCTTGAAATACAAATACTTCTGAAATATTTAGCCCAATTTGGATTGACTTCAACTTGTGGGATCATTTAAATTGTAAAACCCTGTTAAGACTATTGTAAGGAAAGACAGCTGAGCTTTTTTAAGTTAATGGGTGCTTATGCAGATGATAGACGACGGAACTTCTAAATGACTTAAGGTGCAAAAATTGATTTTAATTTATGAGTTTGGCTTAGCTTACCGCCTTTATTCATTTAATTTTCTTCCCTTGTAAGTATTTGTTGGATGGTTTATCTAAACTACTTCGTAAAAACCTATATTATTGAAAGTTGAAAAAATCTACACAAACTTTCCTTATAGGCCGATGTCACCTTAACTTTATAATTTTTTAAAATCCCGTCTCCCCTAAAGAAAGCTAGGATAAGTTTCAAGGTAATAAAGATAAAATGACGGAAAGGGTAAAAATAATTTGATTTTGCAGATAATTCTATCCAAATATTCTTATGAATGACTCTCCTAGAAGACAGGTGCCAGAATCATTTTGATATTTTACACTATCAATATGGTGGATAGATTTATTTATTGTTCTCTACAGGAGATGAATAGCTGTAGAAAAGTGCAGTTATATTATGTTGATATATATGAGCTTGGGAAATAGACATCAAAATCATAAATGAATTATGCTTTCAGTAAAGTGAAGCTTGTGATTTTGAGTTTTACCGTTGTTAGAGAACTGTTTGAAAAATATGTTAAGAAAAGAGAGAGAAAGTTAACATATTAGATGAAACCTAGGGCGAGAACGAGAGAGAGGTGTAAGTATGATAGGTAAGGTAACATGATATGGTTAGAAAAGAGAGAGGAGGAGAAATTATAGGAACTAATGGAGTGTTTGTGATGATTTTTTATTTATTTATAAAAATATGTTTTATATATATATGCATGTGAAAATTTATTTTTTGACCCTGTTGCATACAATTTCTGGCTCCATCTCTGTTTTCTATGATGATTGTTAAATAATTTTCTGATTGCCTCCTCTGACCAGCACAGATAAAATAGTTTCATACTTACAATTTTACAAACATCACTTGATAACTACTCAAAATTAGATGAATAATTGCTTAAGAATATAAATAAAAGAGAACCATCATAATGTCTAACCTGACTTCGGACAGATTTTTGTCTACAATAACGGGCGAGGAAAATGGATAATTTGTCGGAACAAGCAACCTTAACGGTTTGATTATTGACTGCATGACAAATATACATTGTCAGTGTAACAGACCACAAAAAGTCAATATGCAAAGTTCATAACAGAATATAAAGCAATTTACCTTTCTATCGTTAGAAAGATGAGATATTAGGTTCTGATTGACAGTTACTGCATTGAAAAGGAATTCAATAATCAATCCGTCACTATCTTCAGTAGCTCCTCCAGGCTCTTTATGAAAGCTGCTATCATTTTCTACAAGAACAATCTCACTGTCTATCAATCGATTGTTTATCTCCTTTATTTCTTCTAAAAGACAAGATTTTTCCTGCTAGAGTTACCAATGCTAAGATTAAGGTTATATGAAGGAGGCCAAGTTTTAGAAACAAGCAAAATAAGCGTATGTATGTATGTATCTTGGAAAGGACAAATTCGATCAAAAAACAATCACATAATTTGAGTTGACCTTTCTAAAAATAAAACGCAATGTTTGATAATGTAACAACAAAAACTCTTCGAAATAGCAATAAAGTAAAATTCGTGGAATCGTAAAAATATACAAGGAAGCTTTTAAGAACAGGAAACTTATTGATAATACTCAAAATCCCAATGGAAAGTTCTCAGTAACTGACTGGATGTATGGTAAATTTACCATACCGCATCACCAATATCGCAACCTTTATCTTGGTGTTCATCAAAAAAATATTGATCAACATGGGCATAAACTTAGATCTATTATTGATGCAATTCATTATATATTTGTGAAATCTTTTTAGCACATAATTTTTTCCTTTTTCGATAATATTATAATTTTAAGTCACAGGAAAAATTAAAAATAGAACAGAATATAAGGTAACATAATTAACATGTGTAAACAGCCGAAAGCATCAAAGACAAAGTAGAAAGCAACAAAAAGATGTTTAATCCCTCCACATATACACTAGTTGGACCCCAGTAAAAATGTCATGTGCGGTATACCAGATATAAACCAAACATCTAAGCTTATCCAAAATATGAATTCTTATTGCAGTAATAAACAAACTGATACTTAAGTACAGTATAGAATTTAAAATTTCACTGAATAAAATAATGATATATTATATAGTAGATTGCATTTGTTAAAAAAAAATAGAAAGAAGATATATTACCATAACTTTTGGTTTCTTATTTTTATATGTGACTGAAGTCCAGTCATGTTTCTCAGCATCAGCCAACTGCTTGAAACTGTGACATGAACTAGCAGAAATTCTGTAAGTGTCAAAGGCAGCCATTGTATTCATGCTGTGAGATCTTTTGCTTAAAGTTGGAACAAAATCATGGCAAGTCACATATCTAGCTTGTGAAGATGGCTCAATATCTGATGCCAAATTTTTCCCAGTTTGTGTAATGAGGCCTGGTTGTTTTTGTTGTTGAAGCATCTTTAGTGGTCTATTTAAGAATTCTGGAGTTGGCATCACATCATTCAAATGGACTACCTCTCTAATTTCACTAACTGATGCATTCAATGCTTCAGGTGATATGCAGGTTAGCTGAAAGTATATCACAGTAATAGAATTTAGGAGAACCACTTTATGATTTAAAGAAAAGCAGATAAGAAGCATGGAAACAGTAAGTTATAGACCAACCACGTTAAGAAGGTGCTTCGTTTCAGTACTTGGCTCATCAAAAGTGAGTGTAGGTTTATGAGAAATTTCTGTTAGATTATTGCAGTTTTCAGTCAATGGTGAAGCTGAAATCCCCGGACTGTTGACACTGACACCGACACCAAATGCTTCAGTTGCTTTTCGTGCACCTTGGGTATGCTTTTGTACCGCATTTTCCGGGCCTGAGTTTAAAAAATTGTAAAAAATATTTGCTAGTAACCTCTGGCATAGATAACATTGGAAAAGGTAGCATAAAAATGTACAACACTAATTGAACTGAACTTATAGATGTACCTTTCATGATACACAGTTGATTTAAATCCTGAGGTGAATGGCTATGTTGTTTAGCCACTTGCGGTTCTCGTAAGCATATCTTGTTTTGCTGACAAACATCCTTCCATGTATGGTAGTTCTGTCTTCCCGTTTGTGGTGATGGTTTCGTTTCAAGTATTTTCACCGGGGAAATACTAGAATGTGATGGACCAGACTGTTGCATGAATTGCACATCAGCTAAATGTTTTTGTTCTTGATGATTTAAAGAAACATTCTTTGGGGAAAAATTATTTTGTAAAAAAAGTTCTGCTTTATCTAGAATCTCCATGAATTCAGTGGTAATCTGGCATTTATTCACCCTGAAGAGTGCCAAAACATGTTCTATTCTTTTCATTTGGATTTTCAGTTTTTCCAAAATAATTTTATTTGATTCTTGAGGAGAAGACCCAAGCTGAAGAAATTTAATATAAATAGAAAATTAGTAGTAAAAAGAAAGACAATGTGAAAATCAAACTTTACTTGGATCATAATTTGCTTGAATCAATCACCAACCTTTTGACGTGCTCTATTCATTTGTTGGTAAGAGGTATAGACTTTTGGACCATATGCACTTTTCATCTTTTGAACCTGCAGTTAAAAGCAACACAACCATTGTAAAGTTTCATGTTCAGTTTATATTGTCTGAGGGAATACATAGATTTCTAATGCTCATTAATTATTAGAAAATTAATGAACATAACAATACAAATAGTACACACAAAGTTACTAGGGTAGTCTTAGTTTTTGCTATGAACGACTCAGACAGACAGAGTGGCATATAAGTGATAAGCAGAAGTTGATACCCATTTGCCAAAATAATTAATCAGCTTAAAAGTCTTAACGGGTAATAAGTGATATGATTTTATTCAATTCAAGCAAACAAAATGTAAAAAATAATATATTGTTGAAATTGAAGTGCAGGCTAGAATATCGTATTAAGTAAAAATAAAAAAGTTGAATATCATATAATTGTAAAAGACACACACAAAAACTTAATGCGTTCGTCTGGTAATTAGCTTAATTAAATACAAAATGAGTAGATGGGTTCGAGGAATAGAGTGTTCCAATGTGTAAAGGTTTACATTTCAAGATTTTTGGAATTCAAGTGTGAGCTATAAAGTCCTATATTAAATAGAAATGGAAAAGTTGAAGTAGAAAAAACACACAAACCTACCCAATATATAGTAAAGTATATTAAATTTTCATGGGAAGAACAGAATGTGATTATCTGCTCCAATTATGATGATTTTCCAATAGTATGAATGCTTCTAGTTTAGCTGCAGTAGCTGGAATGGAAGCATAGGATAACAAATATACAGTTACACAAAATATATATCCTTTACAGTGCACTTTAGTAAAATTTAAAAAATTATGTTATATGCAATATGAAGGCAGAAGGAAAAGAAAGTGAAGAGAACCAAATTATTAATTACCTTTTGACAAACCTGCTCCTTCCAATCTACATTTGCAGATTTTCCAGCTCCTAAAAATAGAATAGGTAAACATGAACATTCATTTAACTGAGAAAAAAATCAGATATAGGTGCGTGTATATTGGGAGTTGGTGGGAGTAGTTCATCAAAACTTTGAAACAGTTGTTAATATAACAGAAAAACAGAGGTGCGTAGTGATAAAAAAAAAAAAAAACAGCCTTGTCAATTTCCATTTAAATTCAAAAAAACTGAACGCCAATAAACACTTGAATCAAGCCTATAAAATAAAGTGATATCTTAAAGCTGGGGAAAAGCTATGGGGATTTAGCTATTATAGAAAAAGCGATATAATGCAGTTAATAAATCGGTGGGAACAGAATGATGAAAAACAATACAGCCGCAAGGGAGAAAAACAAATGATTCGTTTATCAAACATCAAAATATGATTGACCTCCCAGTTTCTTACTGTCCAATTCCACTTAAGTGTTAGACTATATATATTTATGACATCTTATCGACCAATTCTACTGAAACTGTCTCCCATGAAAATGAGGCTCGTTTGGTTTAAATCCTCAATCATATTTTAAAAGGCAAATTTTAAGATCCTTTCTTTCCTTTGTTAAAGACATGCTTTCATTAGTGAAATTTCCATTAATAGACTTGAGGTTTCAGTACCTAATAACTCCAAAAAATAAGATATGGAGCCTCAGGTGAAATGACCAAGGGAAACACTTTATATGAATCTCAGAAGCATTGTTTAAATTAATAAAGAATGTATGATGTTGAAGGTCAGAAAATTTTCCATGGGAGCATTAAAGAGAACAAGCTAACCCATCTCAATACCTTGAGCAGATAAGACTTTCCCTGAGGCAGTAGAGTTTGAAAGACAATGTTTGGATTCAGCAGTCTTTAGTTGTGAAAATACTTCTTTTATCTTTTTAGATAACACATGACAGTACTCAACCTGTAAATAGATGTAGACCATAAAACTATAGTTGTTTTCAAAACAAGTTTTTCCCATGGAAATAGAATACATAATTTGTTGAAAATGAAATGGAATGATATTAGAACCTAAAACTCAGAACAAAAATTACAACGTAGTTAATGGCATCGTGTTGACCTCAGTCCCTCACCTGGTGGGATAAGGCTTAAAATCTACAAGAAAGCTAAAGTTCACAACAGAAAATTGTAACCTTGTTTACACAATCTCAAAGTAGTACCTCATTTTCGGCAACAGCATTCAGCATCACCTCATATTTTTCCACATGATGAACAAGCCCAGACAAACATGCCAAAGGTAAACCACTTTGCTTCACTATACCTTCAAAGCTACAACAATTAACTTTACATTTACACAGATGATACACCAAACCAGCTCGGAGAACGTAAAAGAGGTTACAAATAGATAAGTTAGAAACAAAGTGCGAAGAAAAATATTTCATGTATGTTTTTATTGTGAATAATCAGAGATACATTATAAAAATACACAAAAGGGAAGAACAAAAATATCACATTAAAGAATTAACAAGGACTCCCAGGAGGAGTTCTACAAACAAAAACTACCATTTCTGAATCAAAGAGTGCTAGCAACCCACACTTTACAATTAGTTGAAATTTATTGAAATCTAAAAAATGGAGAGACAGTCAGGAAAAGAAAAGTGTGGCTCACCAAAACTTTTTATTTCTGATAAATTTCAGCCTGTGTTTAAGAATGAGTAGCTAGCATTTCTCAAATCCCAAAATTATAGGAATAATAATAAAAACAAAATAGTTGGCTGCATTACTTCACGTTATGAGAAGCTGTATCAGATTATTTCCAAGACATGTAAAAGATTTTAGAAGGTAAAATAAAGTGGATTTAAAAATTACACCAATGTGATTTTGAAAACTTAATGCAAAGAAAAAAAAAAAAAAAAAGTTACCACACAAATAGCCAAAGCAAAACTTGAAAAGGGAAATACAGAAAAGGGTGCCGCAAATGTAAAGGCTCCCACCAAGTGAGATCATAGTGAGGTTGGATGTACGCAGACTTATCATTGTAAGTGGAGAGACCTTTCCCAGATTGTAACCCATGAACATCAGGTCAGAAGGCAACAACATCCTTACCAATAGGAACTTAAAAGGCAAAGATAGCAATTCTCTTAAAAAATTCTAGTTGTCAAAATCTTGAGATGTAATTGCACTATACTTAAGTAAAATCTTAAAATATTCTTGCACTATATTCTTGTACATACCAGAACAAACTAAGTATTGTTTGTATATTCTCGTATTCATTGTAATAAAATTTCAACTTGATATTCAGTTAACATGACAGACAGGAAAGGGCTAAAATAATTGAAAGGGACACTATCAATTATAATAATATTTTGGTAGGTATGTTTCTTACCATTCATTCATAAAATTTTTACGAAACTCTAACAATTTCCACCTGGGAGGTTTGAAGTTAGTTTGTTGTTCAGAAGGTTTCATTTTGTTTGTATCCATCCTGCAAGCAAAAAGTACTGTATATACCGAAAAAGTAATAAAATGTATCAGAAAATTAGAATTGGTAGAGCATTTATAGTGTGAATTCTCCAGCATTTTTCAACAGTCTTATTATATACAATTAAGAAAAAAGAGGACATCAGCATTCATCAAATTTGCAACAAATTCCTTTCTTGCATTAACGTTGTCATGACATGCACATACATTCACATACAACGTGGTGCCTTAATTAAGCAAAAATTTGTAACAGGATGACATCCAAATAAAGTGGCTTAGGTTTATGAAATCTTGAAACTCTTTAACAAAGCTTTCATCGATGCTTCTTTGCAACATCACTGCTAAAATTTAGAGGAAAAAAAAAAAGAATAATAATTGAAGCACAACAAAATGCTCACTGTTCTCCTACAAACTTATCATCCAAATTTTACACATAACCAAATCAAATCCGTCTTACAGATTACCCTCCAAAATCATGGTTAAATCAATTCAACCCAATGCTCACACTTACTAACACCAGATAAACTTCTTCACTAATGCAAACACCCAATAAAAGAACACTAAAATTCACAGCAACACTTCAATTCTTCACTCCTCTCGCCATGGTTTTAAAATACTGCTAATGACTATGATTTTTACCAAAACAAAAGGTTTTGTGATCGCAATTGCAACTGCATCAATCACATTTATCCACAATTTCTCAGAATATCAACCATTATAAAGAAAATGTATTTGCAATTCAAAACCTAACTTACAACCACACCAAAATACCCAATTCTATGATCACAACACCTTGAGACCAATTTACTTGTAAGCCTAGACAATGATCTCACCTAGCACAATCTTGAAAGAAAAACAAGAACAAAACCATCAAATTGACCAGAATTAAAATAAATAAATAAATAAAACATCCTACCTAGTTAAGGGATTATTGACGCAAAGCGGGAATCAATAAAACAGTGTAAAAAGAGAGCATCTTTTATAATTAAAAAATAAATAAATAGAGTATGTCACCTCACTCTCTCATGCAACAGTGTCACTAAGATAGCACGCTATTCAATTTGGACGATTAGTTACTGTATCCCAAAGTTAATATATAAGTAAGATTTATGAATATCAAAATTTGATGATAAAATAAATAAAAAACAAATAATTTTAGAAAGTAAAATATATACATGAATGGGCATTTTGATTATAATATAATATGTGTAAATAATAGAATATAATGTAATAAATATAAAATAAAAATTTAAGGATATACTTTTTTTTCTAATTTTAGATAATAAAATATTTTTTGGATAAAAAATAATAATATTTTTAACTAATGATAAGAGTATTGAATTGCAAGTTGTTAAATCAACAACATATATCTTTTATTGTTAGAACCTAATATAGAAAAACTAAAAATTGAATGAATAAATGCAAAATCAAATTAACAACAAACTTATAAAAGAAACTTGATTTTATTTCGATTTAATTTTAAAAAATTGTTTAATCTTAATTAAACGAAACTTATTCATATATATTTTTATTTGTAAATTTTTTGTTTACATTTTATTCCTACAAATATATAGTAATCATTTCTTCCTTTTACTATTCTTTTAACATAAACAATCACAATATTTATAAAATAATATATTTAACTTATACACAAATTTTAATCATTATTTTGTTATACTTTCATAATTTTATCTTTAAAAATAATTTATTTATAATGATTTCGTTATCTGGTTGAAAATTATTATTATTATTATTGTTATAATAATAATAAGTTATTTAATTATTTTTGAAAATTAGGTTATCAAAAGTATATTTTTTTAATTAAAGGAGTTAAAAAAGTTTTACTTGATCAATTAATAAAAAATTTGGTCAGCTTCATTAAATGATGAATATTAATAAAAATAAAGTTTTAGTTAAGATCCCAGTCCCAGAAGATAAAATTTTATCTAATTCATGATTTTTTTTAACTTTAATATAATAATTGTTATTATTATTATGTGTTTAATTATTTTGACTAATTCTAATTTTAACAAATTCAAAATTGATTATATCTATCATGTTAAAAAATAAAATACTTTTAAAATTCAAATGATCTAATCTCAATAAACTAAACATACTGAAAGAGTTTTACAAATTATGTTTTAATGATAACGACATAATTTTTGTTTTAATAAAAAGTTATTTGCATGCATAACTAATCATATGTATATATAGTAAATTATAAATAACTTCATAAAAATTAAATTTTTTAACATACTTTTTTATTCAAATTAACTTATTAAATATTTGTAAGAAGATTATTAGACAATTTTTTTTATAAAATGTAACACAATGTCTATTATTTTAAAAGGAATTTATATAATCTGTAATTAATTTATAAATATTTTATATGATTTAAATTCATAATAAGATTTTTATATAAAAATAATCTAATATAATTAAATATATTATCTTCTATTTTAAAATAAAATATATTTTTTATATTCATACAATATTTCACTTTTAACATTGATGGTATTAAGATTTAAATGCAAAATATAATAATTCTTATAAATTTGTAATATAATTCCAGTAAAATAAAAACATATATTAAAAATTATAGTATTTTAGAGAAAATAATTTAATTATAAAATCTCTTTTTTAATCACCTATCATCATCTTCCTAAAATATCAATAATAATAATAATAATAATAATTATTATTATTATTATTATTATTATTATTATTATCGTTCTATTATTATTATTAAATTAAGTTTACAACAATTATATTTAATACCTATCATTATTTTCTTTTTTAATTAATATTTTTAATTTTTTAAAATAATAATAAAAACTAAAAAAAAGAACACTAAAAATTAAAGAGATTAATAAAATAAACAGAAAAGTTTTTAAATACTAAAATATTTGTAAAAACTAAAAATATATTGAAGTAATTTAATTAAATAAATAATGATGAAGGGATTTAAAATTTATTTTTAATTAAAATTTTATAGAATTTGTCATTTATAAATCATATACACCTGCTTTAAAAAGAAGCGAAAGAAATATGCGATTAATTATCCCTTTAACACATCACCATTTTGACTCTTTTTTTAACTCACTCTCACTTTCTTCTGCCTACATGCACTGCATCTATTGGGCCTTGACGCAATTCCCATCATTGACGTGTCACTCTAACAAAGCCCCCACTGAGGCATATCTGGTTGAATGAATCTTTGAGAGAGAGAGTGACCTTTGGATCTGAAATGGGTTTCTTTGATTTCATCGTTTTGATGTTGGGGTCACTCTTTTTGTTCAAAGTTTTCGATTTTAATTTCTTGGTCTGTCTCTTCTGCTCCTTTTGATTCCCCCAATTTTTGAGTGTTCAAACCCTAATCTTTTGCCATGAGGAAGAAGCTCGATACCCGTTTTCCTGCTGTGAGTATTCTTCATTTTCTCTCTGTAAAGTTTTGATGTTTTATAGGTTTCTACTGTTTTGATGCAAGAAAAGGTGTGTGGAAGTGAAAGCAATTGAGCTTATGTTTCTTTTACATTTTCGAAATAAAAAAAGAAGGTTTTGGTTGATGGTAATTGTTTATACTAAGATTTATGGGCTTATGTGTTTGGGCATGTGGTCTTAATAATTGAAGTGGTTGAGTTTATGTTGATGTGGGTATTATGGAGATGCATGATGTTACTTTTACGTTCCTGACTTAGCTTAAATTTTTAACGAATTAAGAAAAAAAAAAAAAAACTTTTTAGGGTTGTTTGAGTACTGTGGTTTGAAATTACTTGATTGACGTGTCAGAGGAGACTGCTGAAGCGGGAAATGACGGATTAATGTTTTTTGTGTGTTCTGATAATGTGATTCTCTTACCGTCCTTGTTTCTATTGTAGATTTGGCAAAGAACCAACTTCTCTGAATTTTGAAATGAGTTTTGCAAGTTAACCTGATTTCTATCTGAAACCTGTGTCCACTTCACATTTTTAATATTTAAGCCAGAATAAATTTTTAATATTCAAATGTCAATTATTCTTCAGATTATGGTGGGCTAACTAGTTGTGAGCTGAATTAACATCAGTGTGCCAGTGATTTATAATGGAATACTATTATTGCTGTGGGGATTGATTATGATGATATGAGTAGGAAAGTAGGAAGAATATTTTAATATATAGTTGCAAATGCAGTGGCCATTTCAAATTTATGATAATTTTTGGCCAAGTGTTATTGTTAGGCATAGCCTTCTGAACCAGGTAGGAAAATACGAGTAAGGAGTAAAATAGGAATTTGGGTTTTAAGCTGTGACAACCATTTTTACATTGGAAGGAGGGTAGGAAGGAAGGGAAAACAATTAGAAGCAATGAAAGGGGAGGGAAAGGTAAGGGAGAAGACATTCAACCAATGAGTGAGTTTTGAGGCTTTTTGGGGATTGGTGGAAGAGATGCAGACACTTGAACATTTGCAGTGTTTTATATTTTGTTTTCTAGTTTTGTGAGCACCTCTGATCTTTGTAATTGAAGTGTATACCTACTTCTCTGTAATCAAATACCTTTTTCTAGCAGTTTTATCCATTATACATTCCTAGCATATAGAAGTCTTTGCGAAAAATTAACAAAACCTTCCAGTAACTACCAATTATTAGAGAATTGAGAGACATAATGTTGTTTTTCCTTATTTCTAGAAGGGTAAAACTTTAGGGAGACAGGGCAAGTCACCCCTTCTAGAAACTTCAGATCAAGTTTTAAGTCGTAACTATTCTATGTTCATAAGGGTTAATTTGTAATTTTGTCTCTAGATTCGACTACTTGTCTATTAAGTATTATAAGGGGTGAGCTCTTGCAAAGGAACACTTTATTTGATGTGATGAAATCTATAAATGGCAGGCTCGGATAAAGAAGATAATGCAAGCAGATGAGGATGTTGGAAAGATAGCACTTGCTGTGCCTGTTCTAGTTTGTGAGTTGCTTTGACTTACTGTGTTGTTAACTTCAGTCCGGTGCTTGTTTGTTTCTCTTGTATATGCTGTTGACATTGCTCTTGTATACATTTCAGCTAAAGCTCTAGAACTATTTTTGCAAGATCTTTGTGACCGCACTTATGAAATAACTCTTCAAAGAGGAGCAAAGACCATGAATTCATTGCATTTGTAAGACTTTTATGCTATGTATTGTTTTTTCTTCAATCTCCCATTTTTAGTGATTTAGAACTAACTCAAGCACTTGGTTAGAATAATGCCTTTATAATAAACTTCTTTTATATTTTTTCAATGTGAGACAGGAAAGTCGTCAGTTTTTAAGTTATAAAAAAATCATATTCATGTAGTATGAATGACCAAAATATACTAGAAGTGTTTATGTTTAAAATTGAGAGTAATGTGCTTGTTGGCGTATGCATCCATGCTTGAAATCGATTTTTAAACTTGGTTGGTATATCTTATATCTTGAACTGTCACTTCAACATAATTTTGTATCAGATGGTGAATATCGAAACACTATGATATCAAGATCCTGTTCTGGTTATGATATTATATGGTTTCTCTTATCTGCCTTCCAAACACTATTTAGAATAAGTACTATGAGCTAAGATGTCAAGTCTAACAAATTGTGAATGTAAATTGCAGAAAACATTGTGTACAAAGCTATAATGTCTTTGACTTTCTGAGGGACGTTGTCAGCAGGGTTCCTGACTACGGCCATGGCCATGGTCATGCTGAGGCTGGTGCTGATGACCGGGCCATTTCAAAAAGAAGGTTTGAAGTCAATACCTTTGTTTTGTTTTTGTTTGTTGTTTTTTTTACCCTTCTGATGTGCATATTGTTATTGATGTACTTAACATTTAACAATGCTATGTACTTTTCCAGGAAAGCTGCTGGTGATGATTGTAATGACAGTGATGAAGAGGCTAAGAGGAGCAAGATGGTAATTCCATTTTTGCACTAAAACCTTTAATATCATGCTATCTATCTATATTGATGTTTGTGGCAACCATCTTGTTCCCTTGTGCTTACAAAATTTTCTGTTTTAGTTTCTCTAGTATTGTTAAGTACCAATCATGCAATCATCATTAAGTCTTCTCCTCAAAATGCCTCATATCAAGTCAAGTTGTGTTTTGATTTTATGGATAAAAGAAGTCCTTAAACGATTATATAAAATTATACTTTCTTCACAAGTTTGTGATATTATTATTTTCAGAGTTTTAGTTCTGACAACAAAAAACAATACTTTAACATCTGCATCTCTGCGTCAATCTTTCAAATATTACCATATCTGGCACCCTAAAAGGGCTATTTGGTTTATGCAAAAAATTCTATTTTCATTACAAAAATGTCACCTTGCTTACATTTTGTTTTCTATTTTCAAAACTTTGTATTGGAAATACTGATAATTACTTTTTATTGTGATGTGTTTTCATTAATTATAAGTGAAAATAATAAATGACGACAAAAAAATTTCAAACTATTGCTTTAGCATAAATTGTCATCTAAAAAACCCTGCAAGTCTTGCAATTAATGTTCCTGTGTGAATATATGCCTAGCAGTCCCTTAATATACCATGTTTTGCTCAATAATGTTTTTCTTCTATTCCAGCATGAGTTAAGCCATACTGGCAGTACTGGTAGAGGAAGAGGCCGAGGTAGAGGAAGAGGCCGTGGCCGAGGACGGCCACCTTTAATAAGAGACACATATCACCAGGATGCTGAATCTGAGCCTTGCACTTCTGTTCAGCCAAGCAACCAACAAAATACAAACACAAGTGTTGCAATGGACAGTGGTTCTGAATCAAAGGATATACCAAAGGAGGAGAGTACTGCAGTTCCTGTTGTAAGCACTGATTCACTCCGGAACATTGATCTGAATGCCAGTACAAATGAAACCGATGACAAAAAGGCTAGCATGGCAGCTGATACCTCATTGCCGGAACCTCCAACAGAGAGCAAGCACGAAGAGATCCCGGGTTGGTCCCTTTCTGATGTGGACAAGATGGCCATTGATTCGATGCAGCTTGCACAGCTCGGTCGGCCACTAGAAGAGGAGGAGGAAGATTATGATGAGGAGGAGGGGTAAATATTATAGTCTTTGGGTGATTAGATTAGGGAAAAAGCTCATGATAACTGTAGAATAAGTACATACTAGCGTTATGATTATGAGTACCCACTTGCTGTCAACATGTCCCATGTTGTTGGCTAGCTGAAGAAAGGATCTGAATGTACCTTCAGATCCCCCTTTTTATTAATTTGGTTTGTATGTGTAGCTGATGTATCTTTCCATTGACCAGTAATGTTAGCTTTGTACTTTTAGGCCTACAATGTATGTATATCACAATTCTAGAAGGAGTGAAATTTATGCATGCAAAAACTTTGACTATTTGTTAGTCTTTCAGCTAATGTCTGGATGTAAACCCTTTTTGGCAAAGATGGAAACTTCTGGAGGTTGGGTTGGCCACGGTAAAGTTTCAGAATTAAATGGGTGTATCAGTCATAAAAACTTGATTAAGTTTTATACAACTCAAACACCTGAGTGTCAGTCTTAAAAACTTGGTTAAGTTTGGTTGACTTAATTTGTAAAAGAGTTTGAATGTTTTTTTTTTTTTTAATATATACCACTTTTTTTAAATCAAGTTCTTTGATGTTTTAAAACTCAACCAAAAAAAAATGGTAGAAAAAAGTATCTTTGATGTTTATCTGGGTGTTAAAGAATCATATTTCTTTACAAAATGCATATTCTAAAATCATTGTGGACAAAAATATTCCATGGATATGTAAAGGTTGAGATAAAATAAAAATAAAAATGTAGTAATAAAAGTGCGGGTATAAGAAGGAGAAAGCACACAATGTAACAAAACACAGGTCACGTGGGTTCAAAATTCAAAGCCCAAAATAATTATCCAAATGTTAAGTTAATTAGACTTTTCTCTGTCTCTTGGATTCAGCATGAGTGTAATTTTGATCTACATAGTTTGAATAGCGTAATCTTATTTAATAGTTCTAAAAATTAGATCATTGTTTGAAAAACAGACAATTCCATTCCTTTTATTAATTTATCATGTAATTCTTAATGATTACATAATAAATGTACATAAGACATTAATTATTTAAATTTTTACAAATTAAATCATTTTAAATAAAATACTAATTAATTTATTAATTAAATTATAAAATACATTAAAAAATAAAATAAATGTAAAAAATCATTATCCAACTTAATATAAATAGATAACTATTGTTTCGTTATAAAATGATGAAAAATATTAGATAGTCGCATTACCAAAAACTAAAAAATAGATAGCGAAGTTAATTAAATTATAATTAGATTAGAAGTTATACAGTGGAAAACTAAAATTACTCTTAAATATGTGAACCAAAATTGAATAATTAAGTTAAAATTATGGAAAACCAAAAGTTGTCTGTTTTTTAAATATATAAAGCATAATCAAACAAGTAAAATTATAGAAACCAAAATTACTCATACACAAAGAATAAAACTACAATCGAACCTAAATGTAAAAATTTGACGAAGAAACTTAAAAAAAAAAATAAAAAAATTACTCGTACATATTTTTCAAAAAAAAAAAATTGACGAAAACGATTTCAAAGTGAAAAATAATGTTCATTCTTTAGCCATAAGTTAAATACAAATTGTCAAAATCTAGATTTTATTATTAATAAATTAAAATTTTTACGTTAAAAAACAACTAGTCTAATGTGTCATTTTTTTTACTATTGATAAATATATCACAAAAATAAATAAAAAAAATCATTAAAACAATTAAAAAGCAGCTAGCATAGTTAAATAATTTAAAATACAGTTATCATTTAAAAAAAGAAAGAAATTATTATAAAAATAAATTGTAAGAAAATTGTATACACTAAAATTTTTTATCACGTTTGAATAATTTAAAACATGAAATTGTATACACTTAAAAGACCATGGAATTGTAAGAAGAATATATATACTGTACACCACCTTTGTATATAAATAATACGATATTAAAAAAAAGTATCACCTTCATGTATAATATATTAGTGTCTTTTTATTATACTAAAATAATATAATTTAAAAAATAGATAATTTTGTAAATTTTTTTGAAAAGATTATGTATAAAAGTTAAATGATTCAATAATGTAAAAGGACTACGATTTGATACTGTAAAAGAACCACGTCTAAAATCAATAAGTTATGCCATTATTTTTAGTAAATAAATTAAGGTATAGATTTTTGAGTAATATTTTCCTTAAAAAATATGCAGTTATTTTCTAATAAATAAATTATGCTATTAATTCTAAAAGATAAATAATCTAATTTAAAAAGGAAAAAAAGAAAATTTTCTTATTAAATAGTGGGATAAATTATTATTGTTCCTATTAAAATGTGTCAGCGTAATTAAAATATCAAGGACCTTGATAGAAAACAAAAAGTTACCAAATTAAAAAATATAAAAAAAGTGTAAAAATGTATACACGAAAACAATTATAAATATTAATAACAGTAATAGTATCATTTTATATATTATTTAGTACAGATGTATGATGCTGATATGGCTTCCCTATTAAATAAAGGCAATACAAACATGACAGAGAAAGACAAAGCACTAATACCCGAAAAGTATACAATTTATGTGTGACATAGATAATAAAAGTCATACACCGCACACTGAAAAAGAGAAATAGTATAGTTTAGAAGGAGGCACCCAGGCCTATAGTGTTGACCAAACTTCATACCAGAATTAGGAATGATCTTGTTCCATCTGATTTAGATGGAGTCCCCCTTGGTTATTCTTGTGTACCTCTACTTTGAACTTCTCTACCTTCTCTCCACGCTTCACCTTGAGAAGCAGATTAAACTTGGCAAAATCATCAACGACCTGCATAGATAGTTACACATCCATCACCCATGATACACCAGTAACCATGCCCTCCTATTACATCTCAACAGTAGCAAAAAGAAGCTTGCAAGCTATCCCTGTAATCACTAAATTGCATATCTTTGGGAGCAATAAAGTAACGGTAAGAACATGTTGCAAGCGACCGGTCACAGATATGATAGTAATAGTTCATTCATACTATACTAATCAGAACTTCTGAAGGGAATAAGAGATACGATGAATATTGACTGAAGAAATGCAAACAAGCACTCTTACAATCTTTTCATTATTATATGCTAGCCCAAATCTCATGTTAACTCCACTAATAGAATGAAGCTAAAGTTATTTAATGCAGCCAGAAGCAGATTTCATACACTATGATTAGGTGAAATCTAACGTCATCTCTACCAATAGTGTCGCTCAGGTTATTTAGTGCAGCCAGAATCAGATTTCAATTAATAATTTTACTGTTGAAAGGAGTGTCCAAAAAATGTTACTAGCATTACTCTATACTATTTAAACATAATCTCTCCATTTAGAACTCAATGCTTAAGATAGGTTTTAGTGTAAACAAACACAATGGAATTTTGTAACTCTTTTCGTCCAATGGTTAAAGGGAGACCATTGAAAACTATAGGTCAAACAATTAAGAGGTATTAAGAGTAAACTGTCTATCCTTGCATGTAATTCAACACATACCCTAATGGGAAAGACATAGTTGTTTGTAGTTTGAGCTGAAACAACTGATAAAGATTATTATTCAATAGATTCAGTACATAATCATTTCAAAATGATAGCCACATATATACGACTTAAAGCAACCTCCAATGTACATAAATAAGCAGCTAATAGCATAATGCTAGATATATTATATTACAAATATTTTACAGAAAGGTTTCTAGTAAACAAAAACAACTAGACAGGTACGGTTAAGACAATTAGATAAACGAAAATGAGCAATAAGAACCTATTCAAGACAGAAACCAGACAAATCACAAATCCTCCCATAACTCGAGTCAATACAGTCAACAATATTTTAAAAACAAATTACAACCAACAATGCTATCCAATTAAAACATGTGATTCTAGAACCAGTTGAGTAGAAAAGCTAGATGGATAAATCTCAAAGAATAAAGAACTAGACACTGACCTCAGCCTTTGCATCAGCAACCTCATGAAGCTCATAGGGAACTAGTGAATTAGACCTTTGCTGGATTGTCCTGATTGCATGATTTGCTGCATCTTGAACTTGAGGGTCATGTGTTGGAACAGATTGCCATCCTGATTTGTGGCCATCTGATATCAAAGAAAGAACCACAGTAAATGTATTTAATAAAACCACTACAAAACAGGAGATATATGAGAAGGGCAGCAACCATTTGCAAGTGGTACAGAACTTTATACATTATTAATTCTCAGCTCATAACATACTGAACCAACTCCGAGGTCGTTTATCTAGATTTAATCAGATTTACACTCCTAAAAGCCTCTTTCAATATTTACATTAATTATCAGCTCATAACTATTTACACTCCACCATAAAAATAAAAAATAAATAAAAAATAGATAAAAAAACCCTCATCGTATTCACATTCTAGTGTTGCACTAATATGAGGATATAAGTTCCCACAAGTTATAAATTATCAATATATTCATGACATTTGCCCTGTTAGCACAAAATCAATTTTTGGAGAATATAAAAATAGTTAATAAATATCCAACTGTTCTCAGACTTATAAAGTTCACAAGTGATTGATTTGGAAAATGTCATACCCTTTTTGACACCAAGATCAGCAGAGGTAAATGGTGATGCATCACCAGCAGGCTTGAACTCTTGGAGTTCTTTGAAGTTTAGCCATGGTTTTACCCACACCTTGGCTTCATAGAGCTTCCTCTCACCACCCTCAATAGCCTCGAGGGTAAGGTGATGCAGGGTACCAGCAACAACCTGTTCCTGTGCCCTCACAACCCTAGCAAACTCCAGAAGCGAATTCTTCAACACCAACCAACACAAGTCAACAGTTTTAGTTCACCAAACATTGTTCATCATATTGAACATAAAACAGGATAAAGAAAAATAAAGAACTACAGTGATCACTGATCACAATAACAAGTTAACCATCCAAATAACATGTCAGTACATCAGGGCATAGTATAACCATCACCAGAGATATACATAGAGATACATGTGATATAATTTTGCATATTGTGAATGATATTCTAGAGAATTTAGTTTTTAATTGACCTCACCTAATAGGATAAGGCTATTGCCGTTGTTGTATTGATCAGTGAACAAGATTTAACATATTTAAATTAAAATGTAGGTAGTTTTGATATAAGCATGGTTATTTTGGACAATTGTCAATTATTCAGTTATCATAATATATTTTTTGAAAACATTTCCTAACTTAAGAGAATTTTTTGTTTTTGAAAAAATATTATTTGACTAAGATTTTGTTAAGATTATTATAATATTTAATTTCACATTAGTTAGCATATATTGTCACATTTGAATCTACATTTTCATAGAATATATTAGTCGTCACATTAGTCAGCATATATTCTCACACTGCATTTCTTCAAAATTATTTCTTCTTTCTTTTCTTCCAATCAAACAGCATATCAATTCTCTCCTTCCTCATCCTTCCCTCCCCGCCCAACCAAACAGGACATAAAAGAAGAAAAATTTAACACAGTTCTTTCATGATTTCTAGTGTATCGTCGTAATAATATAATCTCCCGTTCTAAGATTTCTAACCCTTCTTTAAAGTTTCATGATTTCTAATAACATAGAATTCTTTAGTTCCTTAACCAGTATTATAAAAGCATCTCCAGTTTGAGTTTTTTACTATTTATCAATAAGCTCTTCAAAATTTAATAATAAATTATTTTCAATCTTTAATTTTGAGGAACTCATGCTACGGATCACCTCACCGTACTTTTTTCCTTCTTCAGTTGTTGGATTAGAATTGGTCACAATGCATTTTAAAATTGCAAAAGTGCTTTTGAAATTATAATCCAAACATAACATATATAAAATAAGAGATAAAGAAGGGGGATGATTTAGCAGCAACCTGCTTCTTGTTGTGTTCGTCGACGGCGAATCGCGCGAGGGATTCAGTCTCGAGGCTGTTCTGAGACCCTTGGGAGTCGCGCACGCCTCCGACAGTGGCCATGGGCGCGTGGTGGTGAAATTCGGAGCAGTCACCGGAAGAAGATCGAAGGGCGAGGAGCACAAACAGAAGGAAGAAGAAGAAGAAGTAACGCAACGATGACGATGGATTGGGAATTGAAGAAGTTGATGCTCTCATTCGGCTTTGTTCTTGCTACTGAATAAAACGGTTTCGTTTTGTGTGTTTATGATCGATGCACTTAAGCACTTATAGAGAGTGTAGTAACTGCGCTACGTTTATAGTATCCGTGTGGCTTAGTTTGGACGCCACGTCAAGGTGCTGTTTAATGCTTTACTTAATTATTAAGCCATTCGAACCAAACAGAGCTCACGCGTTGACACGTGTCCAGAGTATAAATGCATTATCAATTTTTAACTTCTAAAGATCTCCAAAGTTAAAAGCGTAATTATTTTAATATTTTTTATTTTTTATTTTTCAACTAATAAAAATTAATATTAATAGAATATTTTGTTTAGTTTTTTTAAAATTTATGATATTTAGTAATATATAATTTATTTTTCTCATAAAATGGTTTTCAATTTTTATTGTTATTTTTAAAATATAGTTATCAAGTAAAAAATAATTTATCTTTAAAATTCATGTATATTTTTTAAACTAAATAAAATAAAATAAAATATAATCTTATATTCCAAATCATCTGTTTAATCTATATGTAAATTTAATCTCTGGTTGAAACCTGAAATACATAAGATAGTATTGTATTAAGAAATATTCCAATTTGATTATTGTGAGTAATAAACAACAAAACCTTTTTAATTTAATACCAATTCCTTTTGACAAATTTATTTAAAACAATTAATTTTATTCAAAATTTAATATGTAAGTGTAAAGAGATAAACAAAAAAACAATTATTTAACATCTAACATTTTTTTTTAAATTGAAACAATCACACACCATCATTTTGAATCATAAGAAACATTTTTTTATAATATAATGTGAAATTCTATCATAAGTATCATGACAGCTCTCATAAAAAAAACTTACATAATAATTTAGTAAAAAATGGATGAGACAAATTCTTAAAAAAAAAAACTGTGAAAGATGATCTTCAAAATGATTCTTTAATCAATAATATTCAAAATTTTGATATTGCTAAAAAATCAATAAATATATTTTTGTTATCTATAAAAATCTCTTATTTAGAAATTATTCCGAAAATTTTTGATTTAGATATTTGAAAATAGTATGAGATAACCTACGTAAATAATTGATAAAATTAGTCCATTAAAATTAAATATAATTCATTAAAATATTTTCTTACTATATATATTATATTAAAAAAATACATAAAATATATTGTGATAATCTAAACACAATTTTATTAAAAGGCATTAACAATTACATTGCATTTAAGGTATGAAAAAAATTGTGCATATTTATACATGCATAGACCAATAAACTAAAAGCACAACCAAAAAGAAATATTAAAAATTACAGTATAGAATTATAAATTTAACACCAGTGTATATATAAGAGTTACTACACTAATTACTACCTTAACAGCAAATAATATTTGATCTATATATAACATTTTTTTATTTTAAAAAATGAATAAAATAATTTAATTTCATTAAACAAGTTTGAATTTGAAAGATTATATTGCAGGTTAGAAAACAATATATTTTAAAAGGAAAATAAAAGAAAATTGAGTTGTTAATGCTAAATATTAATTAAAATTTTAATTATTATTAGTCATGAATTCAATACCCGTTGACTTGACTACAAATTTGAAGTACGCGTGTATTGGCGCCACAAACTAGCACGAGTAATTTTGAACAGACGAAATTGTTCTGTCAAAAAACACTCAAAATCATGGGATCTTCCCTAATCCTTCAATGATTTTCGTCAGCCTTCATAACTCTTTCTCAAATTCGTCTAATTTCTTCATCATCACACTCTCTCTCAGTTAGGGTTTTAGCCATTGGCATTCTCTTTTCTTCACCAAAATGGCCGCCAAGCCTCCTTCCTTCTCCCCCTCTCGCACCACTTGCGCCTCTCTCCTTCGAGAATTGCAGGTTCTTCGCTCCGTTCAGGCTTTCAATTTTTTTTTAATCTTTTAGTTAATGTTTTTATTAATTATTATAAAAAAGTCACATTTTGTTGTTGTTGATATGATATAATATTAGATAGTTTAGGGTCTGTTTATTTTGAGAGATTTTTGTTTTAAATTTGAAATTTTACTTTTGATTATAAAGTTTTTATCTTGCATTTATCCATCTATTTTGAATATTGAATTTCTAGTTGTCTGTTGCTATTTTTACTTTTAATTGTAAATTTGATACCTTGTTAGTGCCTGAACACTTTTAGTAAAGGATTCCTGTTTTCATTTTTTATCCTTTGTTTTATTTGAAAAATTGATATCTTGTTTAGAGCTATTTACTTTGAGTATAGAATTTCTCCTTTCACTTTCTATTTTTAATCTTAATTAAAAAATTATAAATCTAATATCTTGTTTACAGAGCCATTTACTTCGACTGAAGGATTTTGTTTTCTTTTGCTATTTTTTCCTTTAATTATAAAATATATATGTTGTCTAGAGCCCCTTTACTTTGAGAAAAGGATTTCTGTTTTTATTTTATATTTTTACTTTAATCATAAAATCGGCATCTTGTTTTATATTCCATTGGTGTTTTCAAGCAGGAAAAAAATTGAAAATAACTTTTGTTTACAAATCTTAAAGATTGGAAACAAATTGTAAAATAAAGTATCAATTTTGAATAACAGTGTTGAGTGTCGGTGGACACTTTGATGTGTGAAGGAATGATATGAATTGTTTTGCTAGATGATATGGGATGAGATTGGGGAGAGTGACAATGATAGAGACAACATGCTTCTTCAACTGGAGCAAGATTGCCTTGACATTTATCACCGCAGAGTTGAGGAGACGAGGAAGCACAAGGCTGATATGTATCAGTGGTTGGCTGACGCTGAAGCTCAAGCAGCCAATATCGTTTCTTCCCTTGGGGAAAGTACCGTGCTCCCACGGGTAGGTTTGGTTAGTCCATCTTGTGCCGTTGTAATTTGTAATTGGTATCATTTGTGATATTGTGAATAGGGATCTCAGTGTGCTTATGATGTCTTCTGTTATCTTTTATGTACAGTTGTAATTGAAAATGTAATCTTGGCAGACATTGAATATCAACTACATGGCTTTCCATGTTGTTGAGATAGAAAGACCACGTGTTCGTAACTCTTTATAATGACTATACTGGAGACATCGGTGTTCCTGTTCGGATATTAATATTTGAAAGTGAATTTCCTCAAATGTTATATTTTTCTAATATTAAATTTCATGCAATTTTGAACACTATGTTTACTGAAGCCATCGGAGATTCTATAATGGACTACTTCGTGCATATTTTTGAACTATTTACTACCATTTCTGCTCGATGTTTCCAACATCTTGTGTTTTTCTCTCTGGAGTTAGCGTCACACTAATTTAATCAGCAAAGTACTTATTTAACTAATTTGGTTCTGCATTTAGGGGAAGGGAACCCTGAAGCAGCAAATAGCTACCATGAGACCTATCTTAGAGGATTTGAGGTCAAAGAAGGATGACAGAATCAAGGAATTTTTGAAGATAAAGTCCCAAATTTCTCAGATATGTGATGAAATAGCAGGTTGTGGGCAGTACAAAAGTGTCACGGAATCAGATGTTAATCAAAGTGATCTAACAGCAAAGAAATTGGGGGAACTCAAGTCACATCTACAGGAGCTTCAGAATGAAAAGGTTTTACTTGGTTCAAAATATAGTCAAATAGCATTGATAGTTGCAGATATTTTGCCTCCTATTTGCTAAACATTGCTTCTTTTTTCTCTTCAACCAGATCTTGCGCCAGCAGAAAGTGAAGAGTCACATCAGTACTATTAGTGAGCTTACAGTAGTAATGTCAATTGATTTTGGGAAGACATTAAATGAAATTCACCCAAGCCTGGGCGATTCATTGAAAGGTACACTACAGAGCATCAGCAATGACACTCTTGCCAGATTAACCGGGGTTATTCATTCATTAAAGAGGGAGAAGCAACAAAGGCTACAAAAGGTAATTTGTTCTGATCTAGATGAAATGGTGCAAATGAACTTGTACTTTTCTCGGCATCACTGCATATACAAGTATGTGCGTTGCAACTTGCAAGTATTGAAGGTGTAGCATCTCACCTTGGTTGATATGCAGCAAATGATCTCTTTGGCAGTTATCAGTAATTACTGTTTAGTTCAAATGGTTTTGGTATCTTAGGGAACTTCTATGTTTCTCGAATTGAAATATTTTTCATACAAATATTTTGCCAGTTGCAGCCTGAAAGTTGTGTGCCCATCTTTTGTCAGGGCTATGTAAGTGATTGAATATAACGTTACAAAACTTAAATTCTAATCATGAGTAATAAGCTGTGTTCCTAACTTTCTCTTTTCTTTACCATTGACGTTAGTAATTTTGTATAAGGGATTAGGTTTGCTACTTTTTCTATGGCTTGAGGATCAAATATGTGCCTTATTTTTTGTATTGGTCAAGCACTTTATTTCCCATAGGATTTTGAAGATTCATTCATTTTATTTCACTTTTCTGTAGATACAAGAGCTTGGTAAATCGCTGGTAGATCTATGGGATCTCATGGAGACACCAACTGAAGAGCAAAAGGCCTTTAGCCATATTACTAGATTAATTTCAGCATCAGTGGATGAAGTGGCAACACATGGTTGCCTTTCTGCAGAAGTCATTGAGCAGGTGAAACTTTTGTTGACTTGAACTTAGTATGCAGGTTTTCACTTCAATATTTGAGTATTCGTTGTTTGGTAATTTATATCTTCGCAGGTTGAAGGTGAAGTCCTGCGCTTAAATGTTGTGAAAGCTAGTAAAATGAAGGATTTAGTGTTTAAGAGGCAGAATGAGCTTGAAGAAATTTACAGAGGGGTTCACATGGATGTCGAAAGTGAATCTGCAAGACAGATTTTGACTGGCCTCATTGAATCCGGTACCAAACCCTTCCTTTTATCTCCTTGATACAGCTTATAGTATTTTGAACTTTTTCTTTATTTTTTCAAAACTATTTGTGGATGCCTCGAAACATTTCTCTTAGTTTTTCTGATCTTTCCTTCTTTAAATACTTTCGAAAATTATTGTTTTTGTTGTGTCCATAATATTTGGTCTTGGATTTTATTTTTCCATGAACAGTAGCTTTTATGGTTTTGCAGGTAATATCGATCTCTCTGATTTGCTTCAAAGTATGGATGATAAAATAAGACAAGCCAAAGAGCAAGCTCTAAGCAGACGAGATATCTTAGATAGGACAGAGAAATGGAAATTTGCAGCTGAGGAGGAAAAGTGGTTAGATGAATATGAAAGGGTAGATAACTTCTTTCAAAAGTTTGATTCATAAATAAGCCACAAATTAATGGGGTTCAATTTATTACCATGGAGATTGATAGATGTTCTGAACTATATCTATAACTTAGTGTTACATGTAGTTGATTAGGCTGAATGATGATGGTGTCTTTCACCAATTTTACTTAGAAAAAGGTAAATGTGAATCTAATGTCTGTCATATGCATGTAGTTCATTAAGTTTAGATGGTTGCGTGGCCTTTTGCTTGAGTTTCTTTGATTTTTTTTTAAAGAACATTCAGCTGTTCATGAATCCTCACTTGTCGACTTGTGATTTTGCTTCCCCATTTAAATAAAAGTTAAATGGGTAGGATGTGATTTAATCCATTCTTCAAACCCAAATGTGTGGAGGAGTAGGATAACCAAAATCATTCATGAGAGTTAACAGGAGAATACTACTAAAGCTATTAGGAGAGTTGTAATGTGTTTGGATAACGCAATCAATTCTACCTCATTGCCACAAAATCACGATACCATGAAAAAGTAGAATCAACTTTATTTTTTTGCTTTACCTTCACTGTGAAAAGTTAATTGATTTATCGTACCATTTTGTTGTACCAAATACACTATTAATGATTGGCATTACATGTAGTATATGCATGTGTGAGTATAAGATTAACACCATATAGGTTGTTCTCTAAGGAATTTGTAGATATTGAACTGTTCTTTGTTCACTTTGCTTCATAATGTTGATTGTCTAGTGTAGATATGGTAGTCGTATCTCTCATTAAATATGGTGGTTGGATGTTTAAAATGTTATTTTAAGCATTCTCTACTTAGCCAGTATCTTAAATATAAAATAGTTTATCATTGAAAGCTGTGCTAAACTATAGATTGATATCATTTAACTACAGATATTATGATGACTTTGATTATCATTTGATTATGCTGTTTGATACCTTGAATGTTTGCTTTTCAGCATTACCTTCAGATTTATTTAGAAAAATATACATGAAGATTGATTGGCCATATGCAATTTTGCAGAGATGCTTAGAGTAACAAGTCATTTCAGATTTTCATTTGTCACAAAATGCTGTCGAGCATTTTTATTTATACTAAATAACTCCTACTTGTAATTAAATAGAAGAATAAATTAACCCCTATGAGATAAAATCCCCAAAAATTAGGGTAACAGTTGTCCCTAAAATAACCACTTTTATATCAAGGTTCTCTATCAAGATATTGTGTAATTATATACTATTTACTTTTTCCATAACCACTTTTAGGATGAAAATCGATATAGTGCGGTAAGAGGAGCACACAAAAATTTGAAGCGCGCCGAGAAAGCTCGGATTCTTGTCAGCAAGATACCATGTAAGTTGTTGTATTTTTTATATATAATATATAGGTATATTTATTATAACAACTTATTAAGTTGTTCCATAAATAATTGAGTGTATCAGTGAAGTTTAATTTGGAATGAAGATAAAACTTCAGTTAATAGAAAAAGATCTTCATTTTAAGTTTACAAGCTTGCTTATTAGTGTAATTAGGTGATTAATTTTACTTCTACCAGTTTTAACATACATTGTCAATAAACTATTGACCATAAGGATCAAATCATAAAAGTGTATCCATTATATATAAACATTAAAACATTGTGTTTATAACTTTTAATATTTTTTATGCTATTTTTACAGTTGGATTAACACTATCTTTTGATAATTTTGAGCAGCTATGGTTGAGAATTTGACTGCAAAAGTAAAAGTGTGGGAAATGGAAAAAGGAATATCTTTCTTATATGAAAAGGTAGTGATCCATATTTAATAATTTTTTTTAGATGGTTTGTAAATTATTCAAGTTTTAACTTCCAATTCATTTGTTCTCAGGTTCCATTATTAAATAGATTAGATGAATATACTATACATCGGCAACTGAGAGAAGAAGAGAAGCGAAAAAATCGGGTATCATTTGTTGATTTTTTTTTCTTAGGACCTTTACCTCATCTTCTGTGCCATCTACTGCCATAATTTTTCTCCTTTTTATCTTTTATATCAATGATATTTGAAACTGGGTGATATTTGTTTATTACTATATCCTATATATTGCCTATAATAATGTGAAAAAAAATTGTGATATCTAACCTAAGAGATAAAATCAAAGAAATACTGGTAATATATCAATTGATGGTATAATTTTATTATATACAATGATAAAATAATAATATTTTCACTTTTTGAAAAAAATATATTTTAAATGATAAATTCACTAAGTAAACATTATTTTGTCTGTTTTATAATTAAATATTATTTTTTTAGATGCAAATACTTCTATAAACTTAAATAAGTACATTTTAAATACTTGTATGAATTTTACTATTAATACTTTTAAAAAAATAAAAATTAAATATACAATAAATCTTTATATGAACTAAAATAAATTTATATATAAATTAAAAATAAATATTTTATTAATTTATATTATACATTTAAAAAATTATCTAAATATTGTAAAATAAAAAATAAAAAGTAATTTCATTGTGGAAAGACATTCATAAATGGGAGGTCCTATATAAATATAACAATAGAAATTGGAGTCCTAGTTTGGAGTTCCATATATGTGATACTATCTCTTCCACCATTTTTAAATATTGTACTTTCTCTTTTTGTTGTAAAATTTATGTACAAGTATTATTTTTATGAATACATTTTAAGGTTATATGTTTTACATATGCTTAATAATATCATCGAATAAATTATACAACCATTTTTGTTTTGGTCATGCTCCTCTTCATTCTATTCAGGGAAAAACTTTGGGTAAACATTTTTTATCTATGGTGAACCAATGAGTTAAATGAAAATGCAGAATATTGAAGCTTCTTTTCGTACTAGCATGTTTGGCTGCATTTTTTTGCTTCACCTGCCAGAACCTTTTTATTTTGTATTTGTTCATGTTACACAATGACTGGTCTCATCTATATTTTGGATCAGGTTGTAACAAAGATAAACCTGTTACTTGCTCACCCCTAATTTATTGTTTTCATGAACTTGGAACCTTTTGATACACAACACTTATTGTGGCATGCTTTACAGGAGCAGAAGCGGCTACAGGAACAAGCAGCTGTAGAGCAAGAGGCACTTTTTGGTTCAAGGTCTGCAACGAAGAAGCCTCTGGGTCAGAGCAACAATGCCAACACCATAGCAGGGACACCAACCGGACGGCGACTGCTTGGGCCTTCCGGCCGCCATGGAACCTCAGCAGGAAAGGAACGCAGAGAAAGTGGGAGAATGAACAGCATAATTCCAGTGAACTATGTTGCTCTTCCAAAAGATGATTCTGTTTCTAGGGGCAATTGATGTTGCCCTCTAATTTGACTCTTGTATATAAGTACACCAATTCATCTTTGTAAATGTGCTTATTATACAAGCTCCATGTTTCCTTCTGAAATATTATACAAAAGCTTTACTTTGAATTCAACACTAGAGTTTGATCTTAACTTTTTTGAACAATTGTAAATTGGTACATGAAAAAGTGCTGACCTGCTCTAGCTTTGATAAAAAAATGATTGTACAAGACATGGGCTAACGAGATTACAAATATAAAAGAAGTCTTCCTTGCTCTTTCATTTGTGTAGTTGTTGGTTTTTATTATTCAGTTTAGTTTCAAACTAAAATATACATGTAATTATTGGTTAGAAAATCTTTAATTGAGAATTGTGATTAAATTATATTATATGCATAGTGAGTAGTTATGAGGTTTATGGGGCAAGGGCAAGAACAGAGGGGCAAAGTGAACAAGAATTGGAGATATCTTGGAAATACTAAGCCTTTTTACACCAGTCCTAAAGATAGTTGATGTGAAAAAAAGAAGCTTTATGATTCATTCATTTTTCTAATTTGAGTTAGCAATTTCATCTTTGGCACCAATCATATTTTGCCCTGCAATTTCAGACTTTTTGAGCCTCCTCTGCTGGTAATGGAGTTTCATCTTTCCTTCTGTTCTCTATTTGTTCCTTTTGCTTTCCCCAGAACTAGGTATAAACTACCGATCACACCTGCATCTACAAGGAAAAACATAAACTTGTTAGTTTGATGGATAAACTTCACACACCAATAGAAATGGGAAATAGAAATTTACCGTCCAAGATAAATTTGTTCTGCAAGAATAAAGGGACCATGATGGCAGAAATTATCATCATTAAAGGGCTAAAGGAAGTTGCAAAGACAGGTCCTGTCTTTTTAATTACCAGTCCTTGTATTGATGACACAATCCCCTAATTAAAGTGCAAAACAAAAAGAATAAAAATAAAAATACAAATTACATGTGTATAAATTGAGAAAAGAAATCCCAACAGATTCTTTCATTTTAGCTAAGAACTAATTACATTTCCAGTCTTAAAATTTTAGATAATCAAAATTTGATGTCTTTTACAAAATACATTTTTAATTCTTAAATACTAAATATAAGGGATTTGAGTGATATTTCAAAACTATTTTTAATCATTAAGTGTAATATTTAAGAAATTTAAATCTATTTTTTAAAACTTGAAAACTAAACTGATATATTTTCTTTGAAGTTTGGAAATGAAAACTTGATTTGCCCCAAATTTTAAAAATTGAAATAAAATCAAACCTAGTGAATTGATGGGAGAAGAATAGCTTGAATAGTGCCTATGAAGCACACAAGTGAAGTGAGACTTAGCTAATGATTGATGTATGTCAGTATAGCTTTTGCCTGTCCAATAGCATAAAAATAAATGTCAAGTGTTCTGTGAGATCACCAAAAAGACAAAAAAAGCAAGAGAAAGACCACACATTTAAAAAATAAAAATAAGAAAGTCCACTTTTTCCTTTTTAATGTGTTAATACTCCTCAAATAAAGAGAGAAGCCCAAGCAAGGGTTGAAATGATAAGAAGAAATGCATCCCAATAACCAATCTCTGTCCAATTTGGCCCAAACCATCTCCACTATAGGACCTCTGTATAAGGCATTAGCATAGCCCCTGCAACTGTCACTAATCTTCCCACTATCTTTGCAATGCATCTCACTTGCTTTATTTTTATCTTCTCGATCCTTTTCTCATATACATCAATCCATAATAAAAATACAATTTTCACACCTTCTTATATATAAACTTAAACCACTTTCCCCCTCTTTTTTTTTTTTTTAGAAAACAACATCTTTCCTAAAAAATTAACAATTTGAGTTAGAAACACACATCTATTAATTAAAATATAGAAATTAAAAATTAATAGTCATATATTGTCATCATAAAATGTTTACACTTTCAATCATTAAAACAAATACTGGAAATATAACTTTTAAAGTAATTCTTATAATAGTTTATAAGCAGATAACAATATAGTCAAAACTATTTTACATACCATTTTTTTTTGTTAAAAGTATAATGAATTGTATAGAAACTAATACTAATATTCAAAACTTTTTGAGAAACTAAAACATATTTTACTATTTTTAGTCATGTATTATTTTCCAAGTAGAGAACCATAAAAATTAAGGGTTTGATTAATTTACCTGCAAAACACTTGCTATCACAAAAGTCATAGCTGGAAGCATCTCTCTATCTATATATATATATATATATATATATATATATATATATATATATATATATATATATAAAGAGGAAGGTAGAGTTTAAGGCTCTAAGATGTTGAACATTCAAGGACTTGATGTTGCAAATAATGATCATGAAGAATGTTGATTTTGATGATGATCCAAGAGCTTAAAGACTTAGAGTATTGAAGATTGAAGATTGATGTTTTCCGTATTGTAATAACTCTGTTTTAGTTTGATTGAGTACTGTAATTATAGAGTCTAAGATAGCCGGTACATAGTCCGTAACTTA